CTTGATATTAAAGAAAATTAAGGAAAATGGTAGACCGAAAAACCAATGTAGGTTTTGATAGAGCAGAAAAAGAATCTGTTCATCAAAATACTCTGTGTCATTATAAAGGTCTTTGAGTCTCACTGTTACAGTAATGACTATACAGTAAATGTACTGTTGTTGTGGGGTTGCATTATGGTTACATGGGTAGTATGAAGGTGTTAGCCTATGTCTATATCATTCTTGATAAGGAAAATTGGACCATTCGAATACTCATTTTCATTGTGGAAAGTAAAACTGACCATTCCATTAATTTTTGGTTCATTGTAATTATTTTGATTTGTTATACAGGGTGTCCCAAAAAAAGGAAACCAGCAATAGATTGCTTATTTCTCAAATATGAATAATGATAGGAAAATTTCACAGCTACCCTCTGATAGATTATGAAGTCCTCTTTCTTATGATACCAAAGCTGTCTATTTTCCTTCACGGATGACTGAGTTATAAGGGATTTAAGTGACCATGTCAGAAATGAGTTTGTACCACTTTCAGCTAAGTCAATTTCACCATCATAACAAAGTGATAAGTAACAACAAACATCAGGATATCACTCTTATACTCATTTATTCCAATTAAAATTACACATATCATTTTTAACACCCCTTTTAAATCCCAATGTCCATTCAAAGTTGTTTTAATCCCAGTGTCATCATCAGGGATGTAGTACGTGCGATGAGATCAAGGGCAAACATTTGCATTGAAAGGAATGGGGGTCATGTTGAAAGACACTGGGATTAAAACAACTTTGAATGGACATTGGGATTTAAAAGGGGTGTTAAATATGATATGTGTAATTTTAATTGGAATAAATGAGTAAAAGAGTGATATCCTGATGTTTGTTGTTACTTATCACTTTGTTATGATGGTGAAATTGACTTGGCTGAAAGTGGTACAAACTCATTTCTGACATGGTCACCTAAATCCCTTATAACTCAGTCATCCGTGAAGGAAAATAGACAACTTTGGTATCATAAGAAAGAGGACATCATAACCTATCAGATGGTAGCTGTGAAATTTTCCTATTATTATTCATATTTGAGAAATAAGCAATCTATTGCTGGTTTCCTTTTTTTGGGACACACTGTACAGTGGAATTACTCTATGGAATCATAAAAAATATTAATACATGTACAGTCAAACCTGTTTAAGTGAATCCTTAGACCTGTAACTAAAGTGTTCACATTTAGATGCTATATTTTCAAGCAAAGATTTATTTTTCAGTCTTTCATTAGAAAATATAGCAAATAAACAATACACAGATTATTGTATTGGCCCTATATCACCGTTCGAGGTGTTCCCTTTAGAGGTCTTCACATAAATGGGTTGAACTATAAAGGTAATTGAAATTTTTATTTTCTTATTAATAAGTAGTAGTCACATTTGCCATATTGGCTCTGTGTGGCTAATTTAGGGCATTAATTTTTTTTTAATTAATTTTTGTATCTGTAGTGATGGGGAATATTTTGCTTCAAAGCTGTATCCATGCCATGCCCCAAAGTATTCACATGGTGGCAAACATGGCCTACGTGTGACAGCTCCATAAGCTATATAACTACGCAAGCAGTGCACATTATACCCTTTGCATTCGTTTGACTTCACTTCTTAAAAGAGAGCTTCGTCTTCACTCTTTCAAACTAAAATAAACCTGTGAACTCACCGCGCCAATCAGTTTTCGTCGGCCAAATTTGACCGACGTTCTTTATATGGTCATTCCTTCTGACGTCATCATTGAGCCCGGAATTGACCAATGACATGCGAATATTTAATTAGAACGCATTTGGCGTATGTTTCTTGAAGCTCGCTGATTGGTGGAAGGTCAGCGCGTAGGTCAAAAGTGTTTTACCCAAACTGTCACCGGTACCCGTCGAGGGGGTGGGGCTATTAAACTGTAATATGGTCTCTACTAGGCAGAGTGTAGTTTAACTAGACTCTGCACGCAGGGTATGCACATTAATAAATATATTAATAAAAATATTTCATGGTGTTTTATAGTGTTTTCTTTGTCAATGATTATGTGAAAATAATTTATAAATGCTGAAAGGATCTGCGTAGGAATAAAAGGGATTAACATGACAAAATGTCACCATCTGTTAAGTTATTACAAATGGTTAAAAAAGTGCAACAATTACAAATTCAAATTTTCCAATCAATCCTTTTAGGGAAGATTTAGGTCAACTTCTTTCTTGTATGAGATTCTTTTTATAGAGCATAACTGAAATGGTAATAATCAGCTAACAATGCACTGTTACTCTCCATTTTTGGGAATGAGAAAATCAATCGAGAAGTTACATTTGATTAGCTTAATTGAACAGGCATCTGCTTTCTTATATAAGAGACTCTATACCATAGGATAGCAATCAAGACCCCTCTGGACCTTTTTGCATATTGAGCTTTACCACATATTCACCTCTCTAGTTGCCAAAGAAGAAATCCCCCACTTGTAGTGTGAATTTTGCGATTGTACTGATTGATCAATTATTTCGTGGAAACTAATAACGCAGATGCGAGTAGGTAGTTACCAGTTTCGCCACCAGGTGGCTCGTTCGGGTCAGATAACATGGCGGGTATAGTAGAAAGTTCCCTTTAACTTAAATTACATCTGTTTTAGTGGTTCAATTTTTATATAACCCTTATGTATCTAATAGTTATGCAAATTAAAATATGTCCAGTAAAAGAAAATGTTATCTGTCCAATACAAGAAAAGATATTTAACTTTTTGTGATTATGTAACATGGGGTCTATGAGGAATCAACCCAAGCTAGAAGTCATATTTTCAAAAAAAATTAAATTTTCAAAGTTTTACATGTAGATTACAAATATGACATCACTTTGACTGAATTTTGAATATTTAATGACGTAAATCAAGATTATTTCTATTCGCATCTAGTCTATTCAGTCCAAAGTTTGAATAGGCCTATACTATATCCTATTATCTGATTGGTTGTTGAATTTGTTTATTATGAACCTGATTGGCTGCCTGGTTTAAGGCATGTTTGGGTGCTTGTGTGACTTCACAGGGATTCCCCTCGCTATTGTGTTCAATTCTGACAGTTGGTTGTTCTGTTGATTGTTTCAATATATCGGCAATAATATACCTTTAAGTTAGTCTCAAGATATGTTAGATAAATGAGCAATAATAATGGGGGTTTTCTCTCACACAATGATGATGTATTGATTGTCTGGGAGAGAAACCCATAGTATATTGCATCTTTAAGATTATGTGTATAAGAAAAATTCACCTTCATGTATGTAAAGATGGCAGAGTTATTCACAGGGTGTAGCAGATATTGATTTCTTCAAGTGAGTGGGTGGGCAGCCATCTTATGTCTGTTACTAAGATACCATGTGATATGTGCTGCCTTCTATTGGATATGTTAAGTTATGCTAGGTGTTGGCATGTAATTATGTATGAAAGCTGCTGCACTCTGCCTGATGCCGATATATTGTCTGTGTGTGTACTGTGTCATATTGGCTCTGACTCTATACAGCTCTCATATCAGCAAACCCTTGCAGAATTTAATCATCCCCTAACTACCATATTATATTGTTATTGAAGATATCCAGCGCAAGAATATGAAATGAAAATGAGAAGATTCAAATGAGGGTACCTTCACTCAAAACATAAAATCCACAAACAAGACATCAAGGTATATTTCTAATAACAGAAATTACCCCTTGATGGTTATTCTGAAATCTGCAAGGGTTCTCTACAAAGTGGAATGGCTATATAGATTTTCTACAAGTAGGCCTATGCACAAGCCTGGCACATTGCCAAGTTTCCATCTAATTTATTTAGTTGCCATTAGCATCAATGATCATTTATCAGGTTCCATTGATCTTCATTTTATTTCCTACCTCTCCTAAATAAACAACCCTGAATGCTAAATATAACAATTGAATACTCTAGAATACCTTAACATGGAGAATTCTAGAGAATTATAATGATACATACTCTGTAACTATGATCAAGCTCAAGAAATATGCTAAGCTGAGTAGTCATGCAATCCACCCCAGAGCATTTGTGCATGGTTGTATTAAACGTGTTAGGTAATATTAGTTTATTGGCTATAGCTTGTGTAAGATGCTGGCTACAAAAGCAGAGAAGCTGATGTATTAATGGTTCCATTATCAACACAAGGGTGATGGTGATATCTCATATAATCTGTTCATGTTGAAACAGTAGACAACTCGTCCATTTTTGTGTTTTTTGTCAAAGCCTTTTTATATGTTACAATTGTGTTACCTGGCAAAGTATAACAATTGGCATATCCTGATGCTGAATACCAGTCACAAAATGGTGGCTATAATAATGTCACCACTTGAAGAAGACATTAAAGGGAATTGACAAACGGTGAGTCTAATAGGAACAGCACAAGCAGAGGTAGATTAAACAGAAATTACAGGCCATCATATGATAACTTGCAGTGCTTCCATTTACAACCTTTAGTTCAATCAATCAGTCAATATATTCCAAATCCCAGTCGACCATAAGAGTATGTATGGAGAATTGATCACGTGAGCTGGTATACAAGAAACGTATTCACATGGGGATACGAGACAATGTTGACCACGTCATTGGAATTAGTCACATATTCATGGAACTTTCCTTTGTCCATGGGAAAGGGCTTTGATGATAATGGGTATTAATATTTCATAATCCATATTTTTTATTTGCATATTCCATATTATGTTCAACCCCATGATGTACAGACCTGGTATGTTAAATGATTCACATTTATTCATCCTCAATATTCAAATTCTTTTGACGCCATTAGCTAATGGTAGTCTTGTATCGTATCGTATCGATGATAGATGTTTACCTATAATACAAACTAATGTTATGACTACACAAACGTCTACTTGTTTCCATGTACCAATGGACAAGATGGTGTCTTTGATCATATCCTATATCTAATCTAGTGCTTTGAAAGAATCTTAAATAAAACCAACATAACATGAGATTTGTCACTGAAGACAAATACCTTTATTGACACATTAAATTACATGTAGTTACTTCACACACATGAAATAGGCCTATTTAATAAAATTATTGGCTATTGAAATTAGCTCGGAATGACCAAAATCAAGAATATTTTGTGGTGTCAGCTATCGCCTACTCACTACAACAACGACATGCAAACTGTCTGTATAGATACAATTTCATTGGATATAGCAGCTACAGCTGAACTGGCTTGAAGCATGTGTGTAGCCACTGAACTGTACAAATGTTATAATAACTACAAACATGATATTCACACGAAATGCTCCACTATAATACACAATTGCGGGACATTTTGCCTGTGGGTGATGTGTAGTGTTGGTAGGAGTCAGAGCTTTGCTTTGAGCTGGGTAACACGGAGTGAACCGGGGGTGTGGGGGACCCCCGATCACTCCCACCCACCCTGTACAACCTTTATCCCCCCCACAACACTACACACCCCACTATACAGGCCATCTCCCACCACAGAACAAAGTCTGTAATCTACAGGATAAATAACAGTTTTATGAAATCTAGCTACTGTTTATACAATAGCCCATATTTGTAGAATTATGAATGTCATGGATAGTCTGCAGCCTAGTCTGTTGAAACTAACGCTTCACAAGACTGTACTGCAGACCATTACCAAGACTTCAGAACATACTGTGTATATCAATACAAGAACACTTTCCATATTATTTTCACAATGAAAATATATTCTTATGTGATTGTTTGCAGTGGCAGGCAAAGTAAGAAGACCAGGGGGCCAATGTGTGATCACATGGCCTGAATATCATCCACCCCTACTCCTGGTCCTACATACCGTGCAGGCCACGCTATACACAAACCATCCACATAGCACTACTATACACAGAATACTAGTAAAAATAAGTGTACAAGTATGAAATATCAATATATCAAATTACATATATAGGCGTTTTTCTGAAATAAATAAAATGTTGAACAATGGCTGTAAACTGTGTCTACCACTAGAATATAAAACCGTGCCCTAGGGAAACACTGAAGAGATGCCTGCTCGGATATATAGCTAATCTACATGATTCATTATGCCACTGTTTATTAATTTTCTCACATTATTTCACAATTTTGAAGATTTTCTCCAAATGTTTATCCTGCACGATAAGTTAAAATTCTGCACATTAAAATATGCTCCTGGCCCAGTAGTATGCCAGATGAAGCACTACGAAGTGCTCTAGCAGAGCGAAGTTGCTATCCATCCAGTAGGCCATTCATATACCACGTAGAGTACAACAACTCAATAATACAATAACACCTACCCAGTGATGATCGCACCGTGTGTGCTAGACTTTGAAGCCCACCCCAAATAAAAAGTGTGATCCCTCCCCAGCCTACAGCTGCTGTAGAATATATATAATATAGAAACGTTAGAAGATGTCTACTGACTAGTGTCGTACTGATAGTAATATTCCATCTACTTTGGTTGCGAAATCTGAATGAAATGAAGAGCACATGTGTGAGTGAAGCCTCAGTCTTTAGTTGCTCCATTGAGTGATGGTACGGAGTGAAACATTGTCACGTCCTGTTCCTTCACGGACACTAGCCACGGGAGGTGCAAATCTTCCAGTAACAAAGCTGCACCTCTATGCCGTCTGTCCTTCAGTTTATAAATACTTCATCATTTGTTACTTTTGCACTTCACCCGTGGAATATATTAGCCTAACAGTTTCTAGAGAATCAATATTTAAGCAGTCTGTTAGAGCGATTAATTCCAGATTTTAAGGAAACTGTCCCATGAGCCTGTGGCGACTGCATTACCATCTTCACTTACTCCTAAACAACTAACACGGTTGTCGTGGCCCGCTAACACACCTGGAAAACACAAGAGATATCCATTGAACAATAAATTACATGGACAGTGCGGGAATTTAACACATATCCTGTCTCTAAATTAGCACAATTAAAAATCTATATTTATTGAATTTTTTCTGCAAGACCAACAATATTTCACTTAATAAGTATTGAGGTAGCACTTTTGAAGAGTTTGGAATTGTTAAGAATACAAGGGGGAGATCAACCCACTCATCACTGTTGTATCAAATGTTTCTACAGTAAGTATTTGGATTTCAGAGATCCAAACTATTTACCTGCTCTGTCTTGTCGGAGTGTGTCCCATACATTGCAGTTGAAGTCATCATAGCCACCTAGGAGAAGTCGGCCACTCTTTGAGAAGGCCACGGACGTAATACCACAAATTATGTTGTCATGGGAATACATGCCGATTTCTTGGTCCGCTCGGATGTCAAATAACCGACATGTAGCGTCATCTGAGCCTGTTGCAAACGCTGCGCCACTGGGGAAAAACTGAAACAAACGTAATAATCATAAAATAAAAATAGAAAATAAGATTGTGCAGAAACTGAGGATTCTATTTCAAACACTATTCAAAGGAAGATTTTATTTTGTCAAGAGTTTGGATTATAATGAATACATCTTCCATAATCCCACTGTCCAAACAAGTTCTACAAATACATAAGTGGTTGCATAGGAATAACAATTATGAGTAAATATCTCATATGTCAACTACGATTTCAATTTCCATTTATTTTCCTAAAAAAATCAATGTTCACATTTTTTGTTTTCATAAAATGTCTGTTGTTGTTATATGTATTTAATACTGGATGAAAAACTTACTGTAATTGCATTAATATCAGATTCATGTCCAGAGAATGTCTGCCTACACATGCCATCGCGGATATCCCAGAGCTGAAGCAGAATAAGAACATACATGTCGATTTGAAAACAAATGGTGAAAGCATTTCCATAATTGATAAATGAATCCCAATTCACTTTATTAATTTGGATTCATATCATAACTTGTAATTTTATCGATTTGACCAATCATCCATTCAACATTTCAAACACAATACTCAGAGTTAGATTTTGTCAGAGTTTGGATTTATCAAGAATACATCTTGAAGGGGAATCCATTAAACTCATCATCAAAACCATCATCTATATCATATCATGTATTTTAAATGCCAAGGTATTCATTTATTACACACATTAATTACTAATTAAGAATTTGAAACAGATGATCAAACTATATCATCTGCTTTTTATTTTCTTGATTAGGCCCATATTGATAAAAGTGGTTCTTTTTTAGACGTAATGTCTGGGATGGTATAAAACATTGTTGGGTAGACTACCAATTACATCATTTACAGAACTGTCCATTTCAAACCTTTCTTTAGTCAAGGCACATCATACTTAGAGATTGGGCAACAGAGGAGTTTCATTTAAGATTACCCACCCTTTCCAACACTACCATTAAGTATACTTACTTTAGCTGAAGCATCGCATGCTCCGGACACAAATGTTCTGGAGTCTGGTGCCAATGAAAGGCTCATGACATCACCGGTGTGGCCTGTGAATGATGTGGTTTGTTGACCTGTTTCTATGTCCCACAATGCACTGAAACACACAAACAAATCATGTATAAGTTATATCACAAAATGCAATAAAACATACAAGATAAAAGCAGCAATATATGGATTTGAATTCATTCTTAATTTCAAAACTATATAATCTATGATGTATAGGCAAAGTATTGTACATGTATAGTCATGTTGCACATTAATTCAGTCCTATTTATTCTTTCATGTGACTAATTTTCAATATTTTTAGTTATAGCCCTGGTCATTTGCCAGTTGTCTCCATGGGCTTTAATGTTATGTTAGATCACTACAGTCTTACCAAGCCAGCAACAATATATACGGATCATTGCAAGTCAGACCTTACTACATTATATTTTACTGAATTGTATATTATGAACATAAAACAACCCGTTATCAGTGTATTCCCCAGATTTATTTTAATAAAATGATTTTTTCTCATTTTCCAATCAGTGCTAGCTAATTTTCAGAATCCCAAGAGGGACTACTTGATTACTTGCTTTACTAGAGAGATCACTTTTAGTGAAGATGTTTGAACCATTACACCAAACATTCCTAGTAACAGACTGTTTTTTTTTATTCTCTGATGAGCCCAGTTGCCAAGCATTATTACACACACATACACTTCTTCAAATCCAGTTTTATCAAGTCTACAACGGATATACCCAGCAAGAAGTGAAAAATCATTTTTGGAGTATGAAGGGTGAACTGTACTATAGTGGTTGGGACAATAGATTATTCATCAGATTCAATTTGGATATGTTTACCAATAGAATGGGTTAGTTTTCATGTTAGGATGAATCTAATAGCAACCATTAGCACTGGTCGATTAGGCAGACATTGATTACCAATAGACTTGGAGCAGGTGGTAATAGGTAAACAACCCCCTATATACACTACAAATGTCAAAGCTAATAACCAAAAATAGAGCAATATATACAAAATTAGAAGAATCATTAGCTTATAGTCCTGCAAGCCACAAATATACAACTCATTTGACAGTGATTCAATTAATTTTTAAAAACATACTGTATTTCTGTTGATTTCCAAATAAATCCCCAAATGGTTTACATAGCAATAAAATACTTGTGAGACTTAATACTATTCTAATGGCTTGAAAATAGGTAGTGGATCTTAAGTAAAGTTGGGTTTGGCTTTAACAGATTTCCTGGAATTTTGCAAGTATTGAGTTCAAATGAAGTAACTACTAACCATTGAGAACTTGCTTGAAATTAATAAATTTCTGCAAATCACATCTTGTGGACAAAAATGCAGGATTATTTTTCAACAGGGGCTTAACCCAAATTTACCCGTTTTGGTCAATATTCTACCCTTTTTCGTAGATTTTCAAAAATTGAACCATGTACTTAAGATTTTCACAGCATACAACACCTAGCTGCTCTTATTCTGGGGAGGTCAGAGTTATCGCAAATGATTATAAAACTCTAACAATTTGATATAGTTATGATTTTTGTAAGATGAATGCATCACAAGGTTCACTGGGAAAAACAAAAAATCAATTAATACAACTGAAATGATAGTTTCCGTAATTGACATGTTAGACTCTGTTATATCTAAAAAAAGAAAGTTTATTGCCAATAGCAAAGTAAATAATTGGCAATAAAATGGTTAACCCAAAAAGCTATTGAGTTGTGATATAACATTTGAGAATATTTAAGATATCTGAAACTGAACCTATTGACCTGTAGATATGCATGTTTTATTTTGGGGAATATGACATTAAAAGATAACTGAAATTCTAAGGATCCAAAGGCAAGTATTTCAAAATGATTTATCATTCCAGTTTTTCAATAAAGGACCCACGGTCCTGTGCTCACACAGTGTTTTGTGCAGCCAATGATGATTGACTTTATACATGAGAAAGTTTCCTGAAAATGTCCTACTTTTTGTCAAATTTTATAGAGTAAACACCAAAAACTGTAATTTCAAGAGCTTTGAAATCTTCAGAGAACATAAGTTGCATATACAGCAACTACTACAAGTTATTTGAAAGTTCTACTTCAACAAAGTGTCTACTTTTTGACGTCAAAATCAGCAATTTGATGGATGGACGGACTGACCAATGGACGGACGGACGGACGGACGAACGGACAGATGGATGCCTGGTCGATCCCATAGGCTCACTGTGTGAACCAACAAAAAGCAGGTTCAATGAACTATAAATAGAATCATGTCAAGGCTCATAATATTACAATCGGACAAAAGAGAATGTATACAAGATTGCATTTCAGCCATTTCTATGGAGACAATAAGTGCATAGCTTTCAACAAACTCCAGGCTTAACAATCAATATAGACCTGCTTATAATACCCCCAGTTATTTTCCTTCTATTTTTGCAAAACATCAATAAGAACTGTTTATCTCTGAAAACCTGAACAATACATTACTCTGACCACATTTAACCTTCAATACATATCTATGAAGTGATATTTCTACTTTTTATCTTTCTAATCAAGATGGTCTGAAATGCCCCGATTAAAGATTGATGCAATCTACATTTTGTGCAATTTTGTTAAAAAGGAAACCTTGAGCCCATAGACCATATACACAAACCATTGATTATCTTTAAAATTATGGTGATTGTGTCTTTCTAGGATTGGATTGTTATAAAACCATGGTGATTGTGTCTTTCTAGGATTGGATTGTTATAAAAGCATGGTGATTGTGTCTTTCGAGGATTGGACTGTTAATTTTTAATATCCGACTACATTGTTATGGGCATCTTCAATCACAAATACACTACCATTGTAAACTTAACATATGTATATACTTGTTTATTTGTACAATTCAGATATATAGACCAACTATATTCAAGATCTATGATATAAAGGCCATATCAGAAAAATATAGGTCACTGGTATATTGGTATGCCTTACTACTGTACTATAGCCCACAGATTAAATGTAACTGGGTGTATGTAATTTTGATGAAATAATTGTATCATTATCATGCTACAAAATGGTGGATGTTATTAGTATTGGTTAACCAGCATCATTGGGATACATGCTTTGCAACACAGAAACCTATTGATTTTTTGCTTCAGTATAAACCCTAGTGACTCATTAACAACTAGCTGACTCTCTAGAATGCATTCATAGCTATATTAATCCTGTAATATTGCAGCATCACTCTATATCAACACCCAGACTGTAGCTTCAAGATCCTGAGACCAGGTGTAAATGTAGGCTAACATCTTATCACACTAGATAACCAACTAAGGAATGTTTCTACAATCTACATTCTGCATTATGTACTTATTAAATGTAGCTAAATACCCAAAATTAATGAAACAAGAGTGTTTTTTGGATGGTATATTGTGGTATGCAGGATACCAAAAGCCAGGCTATTTGAAATAAGGGGCAGCAATGCAGCTACACATTATAATTTGTAACCATCTCACATATTTTCAATTATTTTGTCTCACTTCAACAGGAAAAAGAAACTTATACTCAAATCTTAAGAATACCAAAATAGCTGTCTTGGCGACAGATCTTTTTGTGAATTTCTTAATAACTTTCAAATAATGGTGAGCCCCATGTGTTGGTACTGAACTTTAACCTTTACCATGCTGCCTTATTTCAGCAAATATATCCCACGCAACTGGCTTATTTTTCAAAGAGTGCAAAAAATGATATGCCTGGACTAAATAATTAATATCTCAATAACTACTGAATGAATCTGGATAAAATTTTCACAAAGGGAAGATACAGTGGCCTGGCTCATGAAAAAAAATGTTCTCATGATTTTTTTCGTACATTAACACGACTGGGCATAAATATACCATGAATACTCCTCCGGAATCCGCCGCTCCGCCTCTTCGTCTGGTCAGAATCCAAATCTGAATTTGCAGCGATCGAATGTTCAATTTTTCAATTCAGAAAATATTCTAGTTTCTATTTTCGATGACCGTTATCGGCTTCCAAGAGCCTAAAGAGCTCGAAATCGTAATCCATTTCCTCCACATTTTCGTTGTGATCGTATTTGTCCACCATTTTGTACGATTCGTTCACTAAAAACGACTAAAACACTGTTTAAATTGTTGAATTGAGAATTATTTTTCGAAATATCGCCATTTCTAGGTCAACAGGAAGTCATGTTAGGCACTGAATAAATCGGGCAATCTAATTGGACAATACGAATGGCGCGAAAAAGTAAAGTTTTTAAAAGTTTGAAATCGGGCGTACGGGTCCGCCGGCAGTTGTGAGAGACATTTTAGTCTCGGCGGACGCGTCCGCCGGCAGCACGCTAAAGGTTAAACAAGTCTTCATATTTATTACATGAGGCACAATTATACAAAATACAAAACATGGGCTTGGATGCTATGACGATTCTAAAGTTGAAAGGATTAAACTATCAACATGGTTTTGCCAAATATAAAACAATTGCATAATACTATTAGGCTTCAGCTAAACAAAGAGCATGAAACTATGAAAATAGTATATGATCATGCAAATCTATTAGTCAATATTCCTTAAATAATTCAGACATGGAACCATTATGAAGGTTTGTAGAAGTATTGAGCCATGATACCTGAATAACCTGATCCAGAGCTTATTCATCAATAAATGTAAGTACTTCTGAAAGAAGCTTTGTCCTTTGTTTCAGACAAAAGGGAGCCAATATAATCAACTGTGTCATTTAAAGGACAACTGAAATAGCTTTTCTCCACTTGCAGCTACAAAAATGCGGTTTTCTCCATTGTAAGCCCAACGCAGAGTTCTTGCGATAGCCATTATAAAATAAATGTTAGATAACTGCTAACGGTCATAAATAACGAAATAAAACTAACTGATCAATCAAATTGGCCCCCACGTGATAAGTAACGTCATATACAAAATATAGCTTTGGTTTATTGGTACCTTAGTAATCACAAACCAAGGATTGTAGTATAAACCAAAACAAAACAGTTTGGCATTATGACGTTGTGGGCCACGTGGGGACCACTGAGAGATCACGTGGGGGCCAATAACGTCAAAATCAATTCGAATATTGCTTATTAAGCAGCTATAACGATTGTTAGAGTGAAATAGTTTTCGCACTACTGATGAGAAAACATGTCCAAATACATTCATCAAAAAATTATACTGATTTCTTTAGGTTAAAAATACCATTTCATATCTGCTTTAAGGATCTGGATAAAACAAGTTAAGATAGTATAATCTACCTAAATTTCATTTGAGTTTCACTGCCAATTTAGTACGAAAGAAATGCTCTAAAAAAACTAATAGTAAGTTCTCTTGAAAAAAAATATCAATTAATTTAATCGAAGGTGATTTCTAGCAATTATACTGGTGAAGCAGCATCAAGGAACCATGTGATGCCTATACTATACTAAGTAAAAATCCTAATGAATACAGCATAATTTTTCGAGAGATTCATTTGAATACATGAATGCTATTTTAACTGCATGAGATCATAACATCCAGTCAAGCATATGCACCAATATACTTTCTAAACATTTTTTTGTTATAAAAATCATCTCATTCAAAATAACAGCCACAATTCCTTCTATTAATAAAGATATGTGAAGAATTAACTATACATGTAGGTACACACTACACAGTAGACATGAACAAGAAGGCTTCAAACAAGATATTGTTTAAGTTCAGAAAGGAGGTCAGCAGGTACAGGTACAAGTACCAATTGCCTCTAAACAGAGAAGATTTTACATAATGCGATAACAAATGTTATTCCTGGGGTAGCATAACCCATGAAACATATCAGTCTATGTTTCAAACAGACAGGATAACATGTAAGATGATGTGTAGGCTCTTAAATTTTATTTACTCAAAATCAATTTGTTTGAACAGTTCATCAAACTCCTTTAACAGCATTTCTTTAGTGGATTCTTTTTTTCTTTCCCACCATCAAGCAGAAGTGGAGGGAAACCCTCAGAGCTTTAGCGATGACAGACATATTACGTCTCTTGCGTACCACCTTCGTTTGCGCAAATTCTCTCCAGTTAGTTTTTGAATATTACACATTGTTGTGTTGTTTTAATCGATCTTAGATCTTCCTTTATCTTGATGTGAAATAACAAGCTATGATATTGGTAATAACACGCCAGAAATTAACATATTTATTATTCGAAGCGTTATTAGAAAATTTTGGATCCGCCATTTTTGAAAATGATCTAGTTCAGATGATAATACACCTTTCTATAAGATAATTTTTCAACCCATTGAATTATTGAAAGACGTAAATAAGGAACACTGAACTTCATAGCAAAATCTACTTTACAGTTAATAAACATGTTTTGAAATGTTATGTAATAGTCATCTTGAGTTCATGTATATTACTCAAATTATCTTGACAATTTATGGTTTAAGTAAAAGGTTGTTGGTGCCTGGATAATTCTTAGTGATGTTTTCTAAATGCCAGTGCAGTTCAGCTCTATATCTACAACTAACCATGCATGACTTCAAATACAGCAGATACTCAGCATGTTTGTTTACAGACAGATAGAGCTAACTGATGATGAGAAATACTAAAAATCTGTACTCACCATGTCATATCACCAGAACTAGTTACTATTGAGTTATCATCAAGGAATCTACAGCATGATAAATAGCCTGTATGTCCGGGCAATTCCCTACTAACTCTAACATTTCCTTCTCGTGTTTTCAAACTGTAGATTGAACATATGTTATCCAAACCCCCACATGCTACATAACTACCGGAGGGGGCATAGGCACATGTCATTACCCAACTTGATCGCAGTGGTATAGCATGGACCTGGAAGGAAAATATGACAAGGATTATTACTAAGATTATATAAGTCCAGATATTCAAAAGCAGTTTCAAAATTATTTATAGAGCAAATACACATCAATTATATCTTGACAATGACTGAGACAATGCTTACAGAAATATCGAAAAATGTCAACAATTGCAATTTAGTCTCTAAATGTCTACTGTTAATGTATGTAGATTATTACATACAAGGACTGATCCAGGAGAAATGCTTAAGTGACTGCTGATACTGATTTTAATCATTTATGTCAAATATTATGTGCAATGATCACGTTATATACTGCAGAAAGTAGTACAGTATTGATTTTGCTAAGTTATGCATTCTCCCCTGATACCTAATTATATGCTACATTGGTAGTTGGTACATGAACATATCAATAGCTCTATGCTATACATGTATTAAATCTCATTGAATCAACTGAAGGCACATTTGTATGCTGGAATGCCAAATCTACCTTGAACTAGTGTAATCTGCTCGGACTTTAACTGTATGTATACTTAGTTTGAGACTGGATACTATAAATAGTCAGCTTAAAACTAGGTTTATCTAGTATGCAGTGTCTATAAATAGCTCACTCTGGCATGGCTAGCATAGACTCTCTAAGTACAAGCCCTACCAAGATCAAGAGATGCAAACCGAAAAATTATTGAAAGAAATCACTGATTGTTTAGATGTAGGGATTGCAATACATTTAATACTTTCACTTTATGGTTGGGAGCATCTCAACTTGCAGTGATTGTTCAGATTAGTGAAGTGAATGTTTACTAATTATTCAAGATATCTTTCCAAAATTGATAATGTTAAAGGTTTTTTAATCCAAACCCTTATTTTAAACCACCAGGATTTCTTTGAAATAAATGTAAAGATTAATTGTTCAAGAAAATGAGGTGGAAATGTGTTCTCCCCATTAATGAGGCATGAGATCAGACTGACATTTTATATCTTGATATGAGAACACTGACAGTTCAACGCTGCTTGCTTTTTAAGAAGATTAAATCAATATTCGAACTACATGTACTGCACTCTGATTGACAGCATCCATTGAAATTCAATGAATACTTCTACATTTCTCTATTTTGCCCGAAACTCACCTTAGAATGGCCATGTGCAATTGATGCCATTGCCAACCCATGTGAATATACAAAATTAAAAGAACTTTGTCAGTTGAGACTATATATTCACTTCTCTAAATCAAGGATCTGAGAGCACTGGAACAGCTGTTGGCTCAAATCTTTATGTACATATATACGTCATATGTTCTTCAAGACTATTGATTTGAGTGACAAGAAGTGAACAATATCGGAAGAAACTAACATCCTCAGAAATTCTATATCAGTCTATCAAGCTTGTCAGAAATATTCAGACTAGAGCAGTGAGAAGCCGCCTCCAATTTACAAGACTAAGAACAATTTTACCTTTTATCATGCACATAATAAATAAAAAAAAATTTCACCAAGTATATGAAATATTGCTAGGCCATGATAGAGAGAACACATTACAGTTTGTTATAAATGTACAGCATATATAAACATTAACCACCAACATAAAAACCGAGATTAATATATTACTTTACTACAACCTCACAATTCATTTAGTTTAGGTGCCAGTATCATTTCTACCATTTTGATCTCAGTATAGGGTTGTGTATGATGAGGTTCTGGCTTGACAAGGTTTATCCTGAGAGAGATTCACATAGAATTTCTCAAGGGAAATGGCAAGTGGGGGGAGATTGATAGGTGAATCGCATGATTTAATTACAGTATGCCATTCATGTAATGTTGGAGTCAGCCGTACAGCAGTCACTTATAAGGCCAAGGCACATATTAATTTGATTCTGGTTTTTAGTAAAACTGAGATTTAGCTAACATTTTGTAACTTCATGCCTTGTCCAAAGTCAAATGAATTTCTATGATGATTACAGTTCTTTGATTTTTGGAGGGTCATGGTGTAAGAGCATTGTCTCAGCCCAAGCAAGAATCATAATACATATATTTGACATAACTACTACTGCACATATTATAATTCAAAATAGAATGGTAGAAAGTCCAACTAACTTAGCCTTATAATCATGACATCATTCTCCCTTCAAGTAACCCAATAGAGAATTTAGAGAATGGAACAAATAAAAAAAAGATATCAATACCCTTGTTTGACCAACTTGATTTTTTGGCAGAATTTTCTCAACCATGGGGAATCTTAAATATTTGTGCTTATAGGGGAGTGGGTGCCAAATAAAGATTACAGTAATGAATCCTTAGTACACTTTCAAGGGAGAATGGACATACATGACCACAACATTGAATAGACATTAATTAGTTAAAGAATAGCATACCTTATTAGTTGTATATGAATCCCATACAATTAATTTACCATCTTGTGAAGCAGATACTAAATTTCTGAAAAAGAGAAATTTATAAATAAATGTACATTTGTAAGGTAAAAGCTATTAAGGTATTATTAAGTACAGTAAAGCAATACATTAATAAAAAAAATTTGCCAAGACAACAAAAGATGAGGAATCAGTGATGTAGTTAAGTTTAAGAAACAAATCTATGATGCAATGGAAAGATAACAAATCTACGATACAATTAAAAGAAAAACTGATCAACAGCAGTTGGATTCCTTGCACTTTAGCTGATTCCAAAGTACACCTTCTAGTTTTATCCATGATAATATTTACTTATTCAATCCAATAATATAACAATATAAGCACCTTGAATCTGTACCCCAATGCATGGCATATATTTTTGCAAGGTGACCCCTTAATGTCCGCCTAGTGCGCATTTGTATCCTACCAACAGCTTCTAAATTTTGTACAGCATTACTTAATGTGGTGTCGGCCGCAGCTTTTCTTGCTTCCTGGAAACAAATAAAATACTTTGTGAACTTGCTCATACATACTTCAGTAATCTTCATAAAGAACACCAACAACGATCCTTAGGTGATTTTATCAATGTAAACAATCAGATAATACTCAAACATCCAAAGCTCTGTTGAAACTTATAATATTTAACACAAAATTCTACTGAATAAATTATTTATAATAAGGTCAGATTGAATTCTAAGTAAATGCCAATTAATGGTAAAATGACTTTCACTGCACTGAAACTTGGCCTCCCAGGATAATTTATCAAACAAATGACATCTAAACATAAGAGACAGGAACTAGCCACCTACTCTCTAATAATATAACGATTTGTTATCCTAGATTTTTCTTGCATTACAAATTGCATTTCACAAGTCAATTGGAGACAAATGTCAAAAACCACTGTATCAATAGTCTCCTAATCAGAATACACAAGTAGATGTTGGTACACATGTGTTATGTTGGATCAAATATGTGATGTTGGATCAATACCTACACTGGTCTTGGCAACCATACAAGCCAACAAGACTAATGTCAATGTGTAACACAAACAGGAATATTACTATGTATATTAGATCAATAAACTGGATGAAATTCTAATCTTGTCTTATTTAATCATCTCGATGTAATCAGTACAGTATTAAGTATAAGGCTAATACTATCGAAAATTGGTCAAAAATACAAGCAGTAAAGGAGAAACAGAAGTGCCACTCCCTAATTTGCAATAAAAAATGCACCAAAAACTTTGGTTTATTAGGAAGTCGAACAGTAATGTTAATATAAAAGGTTTCATAATGAAAATGACCCAGCAAATATTTACAAGACAATTTTCAAATCTTTAACAGCTCTTCACTGCTGGAAATATCCAAATTGGTATACTGGGGTGTAATAGAACTAGTGTACATTGCTTTGAATGAAACTAACAACAAGCTGATACTGACTGATCAGGCACATATATTCCTATGTCCATATTTCTATTTCTTTCCTATATTTCTATGTTATAAGGCAGCATAGCATTCCTTTATACTGCATAATCTTTGTTAAAATTATTGAAATAATTACACTTTAAAATGGCTCATTTGTATTGATGATCAAAACTAAATTATTCATTTAGAGTTCTTCTAAACAAGGAGATATATCATTAATTATGAAGCTACTTTCTACAGTTGTACTCACCCTAATTTGATTTTTCAGCATTTCTGCTTCCTGCCTTAGTTGTTCTAGTTCACTCATGGTGATTTTTTGATATAAAAAAACTAAAAAAAACTGAAACAAAAAAGAAAGAAAATGAATTAGAAACTGTCAAGATATGTTACATATGTGATAATAATTAGTTCAATCAATTCACAGTCTGCGACATGATATATTAAAATTAGACAGATCCTGCTATGTTCTACTAACATCAAAGTTTAAGAAGATCCTAGATGTGAAAACAGAAAAACGCTATATGGTTAGACATTATATTCCAAATCATAGTTGAATCATAGCAAGTGCTCCAATCTTCTCTCTCAGCAAGGTATGCCTGGTATCTAACAATAAACTGTGCAACATAAACGCTCCTCTCAACACCATGGATTTCCAATACTGTAAGCAGTGTGTCATAGCATTTACTAGGAAGCAATATTGATTCTTGCATCTAAGTAATACATGCTAATCTCACTGCTAAACAGTTCACTGCGATTGATCCAAGGTGTCTAATATTAAAATAGTATTAACTGCATGCTGCAACAAAGTAAAGTAATATTAAATACCGATATGCATGCCATGTATTCAGACTTAGGGACACATGGCTTCTTGGATATTTTTATGAAACTGTAATCATGTTATATCATTTAGCCTGCTTCGAAGTATAAAACAATTCAGAATGATCAATTTCATTTGTGACAGATAAAAAAGTTTTCTAACAAGAAAACTATTTTCACTCGCCAAATTAGTTTTTCACTCACCATCATTTGGCGAGTGGGGGTAAGTTTCCTCAAAAAAAAAGTTTTGTTTTCAATCTTGCGATTCTAAGTTTATTGAAACGTTGTGCACAGTACGATAAATGGAAAATGTTTAAGGAATTATCACGTTTCGTTATCCAGCAAGTCAAGAATGCCATTTTATTTTTGAAATACTTTCATCTTAGGAATACAAATCCTCATCTTTGTTATCCTACTGTCATGATATTTCGGTCAGTGATATCTACATTGGCTTCTAATACAGGCTTCCTGTTGCAGTTCTCCCACTACTTAAGGACTGCTGACACCATCTATGGATTAAAATTCCCAAGATTTCATTTATGTCAATTTTTGTTGCCAAGAATGGTGAGGAAACAAAAAAATATTTCATATTTCTACAATAATGACATGGACTCGACTATTATTGGAGAGTTTATGGTAAAGATCGCTAAAATGAACCAAGAATCTAACTAAACAATATCGAATAAATCCCCAAATGAGTTTCCCAAGTGAGGGAATCATTTTCAGTGTTAGATACTGACATATTACATATTATATTAGATTTTTGCGTAAATCAATGAGAATACAGAGAATAGCCAAACTAGAAAGTTCATGACATCAATGTACGCCACATTTATCCATTTGAGTGTAAATACTCTATTATCGCCCACTTCGACAGACAATGTTTGACCAATCAAAATCATTGTCTCATTCAAGAGCCTATCAAGTCAATGAACTAGGCCTGTTCAGGAGCATGCTACCAGTTAAATATAATTGTCACTTTTTGCCAAGCTTTTCACCATGACTTCCAACTTATTTTGATTTTTATCAACAAGAACTTGTACAGTGGCATTAGTTTTGATGACGATAGATAGACAAGTGGTATTAACATGGATCTCGAGTCTCAACCTTTATTTTTCCATTCCCATTTGGAGATAGCCCACAGGCGATCTGCCAAGCCCACAGGCGATCTGCCACACTACATAAATACAAAAATGTTACAGCCTTAGGTCAAAATAATTTTCAGTACTGTTCCATTTTATGTATTTTGCTATCTCAGACCCATGATTTAGACTGCATGTTTATACCAAATGCTATAAACATTCAAAAATACATTATTTGTGAGTAACAGGCCATTTCATGGAACCCTCTAGCTCTAAACAGGAAAACATAATAATTTAAAAAAATTTGGAAGGCATATTTATTTTCCATTCTTCAGTTACATGCAGCAATCACTATGAAGTACCTATTTCCTTTGAATCATATCGCCTGTAAAAATTTATTCTGAATCGCTTGTATAAACGATTCTCTTTGAGTGAAAGCTTTCCTGAAAACATACATAAGAATAACTTTAGAAAGCAAATCATTTAACATTATGAAGTGCTCAGACCTTGAATATACAAAGTTCATGTCAAATATTTTACAGATAAGATAAATATTAAATAGGCTAAGTAAATACAAATAAATAATATTTATTCTTAATGTAAAAATTAACAATACATTTGGCGTTTTGAGGGCGATCTCATCCTTAGAACAGATGTATGACCTGCAGATCATTATCATTTAGAGGAAATATATGATGATGAGAAAGTTCAAAGGTCTGCATTTGAAAAACAAACCCATATCAAAATATCTAAAATTACCTTGTTCTACTCAAAGTTCTTTAGTTCTACTAAAGTTTGGGTTTGTCTCCCATACCATTTACAAACCCATGGTTTTGGATCATGGTTTACTGGCTAAAAGTCATACCTCAAATTATACTTTTGACTGCAAAAGGATTTTTTTTAGCATAGCCTAACTCCGAATCAACTGGAACAAAGGCATTTGTTTTTATCGTTTCCAGGAAGTTTCCATAACTGTTTTAAAATGACCAGCCAAATTTGAATAATACTTCTACAGCCTTATACAATGAGGTATGATATCTGTAACGGGTATCCCAAAACAATGGTTTGTAAATGTTAGGGAGAACGAACAGGAAAATCTTGAACCGGAGTCCTAGACTTGAATTTGAATAATCTGGGAGGAGGCACTGAAGGGTACCATTGCTATGTTGAAAAGGGTTAATTTAAAACTCCCAGTCAACCAAGGTAGTTAAAATGCTGCAAAACTGCTGATAAATAAGAACAAAAGATGCAAGAACCTCTCCCTGATGGAGGGAGTGACCAAATTTTGGATATGCACAGAAAAAAATTGATCATAGATAAAAATGGGGGCAAAAAGCCAAATCGCAACACAAAGAAATTGTTCAGATGTGAGATTATAACACGTGAAAACGACTTAAGGTTTTTCTAATGCCCAAACCCCTTCAATAAACATAGTTTATGTTGGGACTGTCAAAGATGGCTGCCATGTTTATTTGCATATCATTATGGAGGCTTCATCAACTGTTATCTCAAATTCAAAGAAGATATGAGGACATGTCTGTACGCAGACCCGTTTTCCATATATCAACGTTAATGCCCCAAAATGTAAAACATCGACAATCTTTTAACAAGACGGTTGTATTGAATTCTTTATTCATACCGGTGTTTCCAAGCTGCCATTGATCAATGGCGGACGGTTTAGCAACGGTTCGAAAATTTTAAAAGTAGCTTTTGCAAAGTTAGTGCACCCATTTTACTCGATCGTTAGAACGATAATCGAGGATATATCACACAAGCGATTTATATAGTAAAAGTGTATGCAAATAGTTGCATACAATCGTATTTCAATATCAAAAATAAAAAGTGACAGCGACTTTCCGGAAATATTGGCGAGAATGGTGGGTCAGTTCATCACCGTTTTACTCCAATATTTCGCGCATAAATCAAAACCTGGCCAGGACACTTACCCTAATAAAGAACCAAGGTAGGCAACAGACGATCACTGGACCATACACCCCTCTATTTCTATCATAAATTCTTCATTAATTCGTCTGTATATTTCCACAGGGTGCGGTGCCCTTGCATTTACAATCAGAAACCCTGTAGCACTGAAAATATACCACTGCGCTTGCGCGAACAGAAATTTTTGTTAGTGTATTTTATAGAATTCCTCTTAATTAAACATCTGAATTCCACAATTTACTGAGTAAAAGGCTTATATTAAAAACCTTAGAAGGCCTCAAATCCAAATAAACATCATTGCCATGAGAATAAGTCACCAATTTATCAAAATGCAATAAGAAAATTTTGGCCTGCCCGATTAGTCTAAATGCGCAACTAATACAATTTTTAAACGAAAACATAACAAAACAAAAATAAAACAGTAAACGAACAATCGGCAATATTTCATAAAAAGGATCTGTGGGTTGAACCATGGTTGAACTTGTGATCGAAATGTTTTGTCTTAATTTCCATTTTATTGAAATTGAAATGAAAAAAATAAAATATTATGTTCGGATAATAATGCATTATCTCAGGGAGATACACTGGCGGACCCAAGGAGGGGCGGGGGGAGAATTTCAAAATGGGGGGGGGGCATTTCAAATAAGAAAAAATTTCGAACAAGAAGTTTGAATATTTCAGGCCCATTTTTGATAGGCCCAAGAGAGGCAAATAATGCCCAAAAAGCCCTATACTTGGCCTAAAAACGATTTTTGGGCTCAGTCAAATCTTTTTCTGAGCCCACCCCGAGGGGGGGGGCACGAGTCCCATGGGCCCTGGGTCCCGCCCTGGATCCGCCAGTGAACTATTATAGTATTGTACGCCTATACAGTATGGCGATCACGGTCCGGATACCATGCTTTTCAAGTATGGCGGCAGTCCCGGGAACTTACCTCGTCAGAAAGGCTGATTGAGTGTATGGCACGAGTGAGCGAAGCGAACGAGCTATGAGGGGGGTGTTAGACCATTGTTGCCCGATTTATAGCAAAAACATTGACTTTTGCACGTTGGTGATGATGCGCCTTTCTTAGTAGATCTCATATCTTAGAAGGGTATCAGTTCAAAAAAATACTACTGAGATGACCTAACATATTTTGCCATGCACTGCGCCTATTCATTTGGCAATTCAGTTGTTAATTTTCTCTTGAAAAAATAAATCTTCCCAATTTGTTGAGTTTTCTTGCAGAAATCGCCTAATCCCCCCCCCCATCCCATTTGTACGATCACCCGGCGTCATACGTTATGGTGACATAAAAGAGAGATTTCGCACATAAGTGAAAGTACAACTTATACGTATACGTATAGTTTAAAGGGTCATGTCGAACTATTATATTTACTAAAATCAATTTTAAATTGTACTTAATGGAACATAACTATTCCCGTTATAGAAAAGCTCCATCAACTAGAGACTGTAAATGCACTATCATCTGCACGTGTAGATTATGCACATTATAATTAAATGCTTGCTTCCGTGTCCTTGTAGTTGTAGTGTATTATAAACACGATCCTTTAAAGTGAGTCATGATTCTTTAAAGTGAGTCATTACATAAACAAGTTTATTATTTCAATGTTTTCATGATCAGTATAAGTTCAATGAACTTACAAAACGGTATATTTACGTAGATGATAACGTATACAGTTGGATCTCCGTATAAAGATTTGCCTACATGTGTGTGGAACAATTGACCGCAAGCATTTTTTGAAATTAATTGGCTGAGTGGGAACAGTATCCAATCAAATACTTTAACCATCAATTTGAAACACCAATCAAACCAGTAGGTTCTAGCAAATCCTGGAAACGACCCATTCAGTAGCTCAACAAATGACATACAGGGTGTTTCATAACGAGCATCTCCAAAGGTCAATTTGAGAAGAGATGGGTCTATAACATATGTACTATATATGAGCCTATTTTATTCTAGACAAACACATTTGGATCAACTAAACTGCTACAATTCAAGAAAGTACAAATGGCATCCCTTTGACCTGTATTTATTACAGTCCGAGATGATCTTTCCTGACGAAAAGCCCACATTATGAAACACCTTGTACGTTTACCTATAAGTATAAGTATACGTTATAAGTTGTACTTTCACTAGGTGCGAAATCTCTCTATTATGTTACCATTCGATGAACAATACCCTGAGCAAAGATCTTATTTATTCAACTTCTGGTGGTAAACTGTTATTTGCTTAATCAAAGCTCGGTTGAAGCTTTGGAATTTGACCAAAATACCTATTTCCATTATTGGGGAAATCGTCAGACGGCTCATCATTCCCGCCCTCCAGTTTTCCTACTCCGGCCGTTTAGTTTCAGTAATGAAATTCTCCGTCGTGCATGTAAGAGCGTTTCGGTTGGACACCGTGTGAATACAGTCATGTTCGAATTTCGTATATACGAGCACAATCCGTATATAGGCCTATATAGGGTACATTATACAATTTAAATAATAAAAAATATCCGGGAATGAACCCCCGTAAGGTTACCCACCCTCCTTCAGGGCTCGCTTTGCTCGCAGTGATGCCAACCCAAAAAATCGCACCCCGGACAATTGCTGGCTACACCCCATCGGTCTTTTAGGCCTACCGGCATTGGTCGGTCTTTTACAAACTTCCCCAAACCTATTTGGGGGCTAGTCGCGGGAGGCTAGCCGTCGAAAACACCGACCGGTCGCATATCAGATTTTAGCGCCATTTTACCACGTGCTTTTATTGTTATTAGAGAGTTAAAGCTTGCACTGTTTCTCACAACCTGAACGTGAACGATGCATTTGTATGGGCGATTTGTCATACGTATTTGTTGGCGTTTCGATTTTATATGCAAGCATAAACTCCCTAATGTCACGTGATTCCGCTAATCCAATAGCTTTACAGCAAACCATGAACTTATACGTCCGCGCGTCAAATGAGTGGCGTCAAATTGAAGGCGGTGACGGCATAAGTTTACATAAGTTTGTATTGAAAACGGGGTCGTATTTTAAAAACGACCTTAATTGTAACTCACCAGGGAGAAAAGTTATTAAAGTGGTAAAAATAAGATGTGTAAACTTGTTAGTCTAGTTCTTTAACTTCCAACCCTGACCTAATGATCGATTTAAAAGCAAAAGGGCAAAATCTCCGTTTGAATTACGCAATATGACCGCTTTAATTGGCACTTTTTTAGATCAATAACATTATGTAAAGTATTGGAATTTTAACATTTAAGCGATGCATTTGTATGGGCGATAGGTCATGGTATAACGGGTTGGCGTTTCGATTTTTATGCTAGCTTAATCCCTCCATTGATCAAATTACGTGAAAATCTCGATATGGGTTGTCGGTGAGCCCGGGGTCGATCTTTTCCGTAGACCCAGGAGCAAGAGACTCAGAGGGACGAAACCCCCGGGACGAAATGTGGTCTGGCGAAACTACGGAGGTGGCAGAAGTTAGGGCTTCCGGTGCAAGCATGGGAATTCAATATTAAAAATATTGATGATGGAGGCTGTTAGCAGGTTTTAGATGTAGATGCACCTCTTTCGAAATTCCCGGAGACGCTCCTGTCTACTAGTGAGAAGTTATAGGGACGGGATATCATAACAAATCAAGTAGTGTCAAAATTCTTTCATGACTTCCTAACTTTTAGGCGAATTACACGCGTGCCTGTTGCCATTCAAATCAGGTGTAAACCGGTAGGTGGTCTTTTGGTCCTACTCTCTATTGATTTATATGGTGACCTAATTACAATTGTTTCCTTATTTTTTATACACAGTCAGGGCCAGTGAGGGCCGTAAGGAAAGGGGACCATAATCCCCAAGGGACCATAATTTCCTTTACATCGGGCCCGTGCGCCTGAGGAGAAGGGGCCCTAAAGGGGGCCAAAGGCCTAGATACTGTTGTTTAAGCCCGGTATACTATACACCAATGGGGCAAAATCCCACTTGCCCCATCGAGTCCCATCTTGCTCCATCGAATTCCAATTTGCCCCATCGAATCCCACCAAGTCCATGGGACCTTGATGACTTTGCCCCATGGAGTCCCAAGTGGGACTCCATGGGGCAAAATCCCAAGAAGTCCCACGAGGTCCCACCCACGCAATGTTAAGTCTATGGAGATCCCAACTTGCCCCATTGGTGTATACCGGGCTTAAGAATACGTTCCGGGCGGTATTCTATATAGCGAGCCACCCGGTGTAAAAGAAATTATGGTCCGCTATGTCTATGTCAATAATCTGCAAAAGGCTAATAAGCCCATATAAAGCAGATATATAATTTAACAGTGATAGAATTTGAATAGAATATAATTTAAAACCTTAACATTTAAAAATAGATCTATGGTTTACAACTCATTTTACCTGGGGAGACTGTCAGGCTACCGCGTTGACATCACCCCTCTTTACCAGTAGTGCAGGCTTGTTGCTGTGCACTGAGGACCCTTTACATTAAAACATAGATCTATATTAAAAACACACCTATTTAATTGCAGTTATCCCCCTGGCCTGGGAATTATGGTCCCCTTTCCTTACCCTTACTGGCCCTGACTGTGTATAAATAATTGTAATTAGGTCTCCATATAAATCAATAGAGAGTAGGACCAAAATTTGATAGGACCACCTACCCTTTTACACCGGCATATAGGCTAAGAAGTAGTAGCTGTGATTATGATATTTGATTTATCGATAGATGTCTCATGTTGCTATAAATATTCGCGAACGGAACCTGACGCAGTTTATTTCACGTTTGCAAGTTTGACGCATCATCAACATGGCCAGCTCAAAATTTTGCAAAAGTTTAGTGTACTTATACATTTTTACTTATATTCTACAATTAGGCTCGCTATTAGCAGAATCAAAAGAAGCGGAAGAGTCAGAGGGTAAGTTTTGTTCATTTTAGTTCGTAAAATAAATTGAAATGACGCTAAAACACGCAAGAAATTGATGTGAAATTTGAACCTTATAAATGTGATGACGTGCAAAAGTTCAGTTTTTATGCTATTTTTAGACACGATAAACCTGAACCCGCATGAATGAATTTGGGAGACTTTTGGTGTAGAACTGAATGGTTTTTAAACCAATTGATTAGTTTCTCATAGAGAAGTGATCGCTCTAAAGATACTCCCATAAATCACAGACACGACAGACTTGAAAGTTGAAGTGCCTCTAAGTCTAAAGCATATTTCATGAATGTAACTCTATCAGCTTTATTTTCATGACTTCAACTGTCCCGCAATTTGCGTATTTGTCACGCACTTGCTGGAAAATTTGAAGTCACACCAGTTTTTTTTGCGTGACAGAATATACGCATTTTACCTGATGATTGTTAAGCAAAAATATATAAAGTTGGGGACAAAAATAAATGACAGGTCGATTTTCGATCACCATTTCCTAATTATGGTGGTCTGAAAGCCCATAATTTCCAATATTGTCTAGATACATATCCCTTAAAATTTGTATATTTTACATTTTGTATAATCTCATCCACTGATGTATGGCCTCTTGTAAATTCTCTTATTTTTAACATGGGAAATCCTCACTTCAGCAAATCCACCTGTCATTTATTTATGTCCCCAACTGTATTAGAAAAACTTGTGATTGCAGATCGCCGATACAGCAAAAAAAACAAACGCCAAAAAAAAGAGCGCATTTTGTCAATCATGAAGCATAAGCATGTAGATCTATCTGGTAGAATCTAGGTAGATGTAAAACGATTCTCAATTTTCCATTTTTGAGTAGAGGTAATCTGGGCAAGGTTCACATCTTCTGGTTTGATTTTTACAACTTTGTTCAAAGATCCCACTGCTATCTAAATGTGAAAATCAAGTTTTAAGTTTAACGTGTATGCATGCATGCTCAAAATATAGCGTATTAAAATTCAAATTTCACATGTGTTCAGTTATCAAAACTTCCAGAACTTATCAGGATCGCAAAGAGAGAAATGAGTCTGTTTTATAGTAATTTAATATCTCTTGAATATTGACACAACAAAGTCCTATGTGATGGGATTCATGAATGTTTACTAAGTTCTGCAAGGTGACAGTCTCAAGTCAGACCGCAAAATACAACTTGTATGCTACTTGTTGTCTACCATATTAGTACTTGCAAGATGCTTAACATTTCTCTGGAATGATGTCAGAAAGCTAACTCTAGGGGCTCATGGACCCCCTCTCCCTTATTTAGAAAATAAAGTTAGTGTGATATTATGATATTGATCTTATGAAATGTTTCATCTTTATCCTATTACAGTACAGTTGGCATGTATATATTGGAAAAAAAATTCACCCCCCTCTCTGTGTACCAAGGATAAAATAACCTGTGCATTGGCACTTAATGCTGCCTTTGGTCACTTGTTAAAGTTGAATAACTATTCCCTCATATGGAAATGAAAAACACATTAATTTTTAGATATAAAACATTTGCATATCTTGGATTGCTTTTGATTTGGCTCACAAATGTGTGGCCTCCACAACATTTTCAGAAGTTTTATGGCTTCCTAATCGGAATCTCTTGTTATCTTCAGGTATGATGCATATTCTAAATATATCTAAAACAAAAAAGGAGAAAATTCAGTGACCTACATCTTTTGTACTGAATATTTTACATATTCAGACATTGTAAACAATCATTTACCCTCAACTAATAATCCAAACTGAACAAAACATAGACCTCTGTTTTGTGTTTTCCATATACTATTCACAGTGATCCATTGACTATCCCATTGTTTATTTTTTATGAAAACAAATCTATATTCTATACTTCAAAAACTGATTACATGCAGTGATCTCCCTGGCATTAAAGCAAGTGGGCGCAGCACCCGCCTGAGATTTAAAAAAAGGCTTGCACCCGGCACCTGAAAATCCATTTGCACCCACTTGAAAATAAGAAAATCATGAAAATGAGCATATTTTATTCAATTTTGGTCTGAATTGTGAAAATGAGAATTTTGCACCTACTTGAGAAATAATCCTGTGGAGAACACTGATATACATTATAGTTAAAATTCAGCTTTGTTTGAATAACATCTGCTTTTAAATTCTACCATTTTGTATATAGAACCATGCTCAGACCGGATTATAGGCATTCCAAAGAGAGATGTTATGTTAGTCTTCTCCATTTCATTTTAGTAAAGTACAGCAGTATTGTTATGATTTACTCTTGTTGGCCATTCATTCACACAAGTAAGAAAAATGAAAAATGATGCTGAATTCTGCTGAAACTTAACCTAACAGTTATCACAAAACTTTATTTGTAAATGTTGGTGTATTAAAACTGAATTTTGTCTTTATGATTTTTTACTTCAATGATACTAAAGTCCTTTGTAATTCTAAAACTATTAGATTGGTATAGATTAGTAATAAGTTTTTGAAGTAGGAAAACTTGAAGGGCCATTTTTAGTTTTTTGTCCTTAAATCTGTCTGGATTGAATTGAAGGATGCACTAGGGATGTAAAATCAAGAATCAAAATATATTCAAGGAAATTGGTTTTCTGATTATTTGGATATTCGGTCTACCTGGCCATTTTGAAGCTCTTGGGCACATTAGATATATGTACCGGTATACATGTCTATGTGCACAGCATAGACATCATATGTGGCTTCTGTGGTTGTTGAGAGTTTGATATATAGGTGATTGAGGTATTAGCCTTTTAGGAAGGAAGGATGTCTGGGATTTCAGAGGTCATCTAATCTTATAGTACATGCTGTAAAACATGTATTTGTCTAAAAACAAATGCACTCATGGAGACATGTACTCATTTCAGTGAATATGTTTTTCATTGTTTCTATAGAAACTTAGTTTTTCCCAAACCTCTTCTCCTACAAATTATATCTTTATGTTTTCCATGTGACATGTTAAGGCAATGTTTACTCATAAATATGACATAAATATCCAGATAATTTACTTCCTCATTATCTATTTTAAGACTGGCATTTCCTACATAATATTATGTTAAACACAATGACTTTTGAAATGTTCATAACTCTATTTTCTATATTGCTTACTTATATTTACATGTATTTAGTACTACAGCTGTATTTATCCATTAGTTATATGGATAAATCTTGGGCAACTTTTTGAGAACTGGTTTCCTTTCTTCTTTCCAGTGTTGTGGGTGAATAGTGACTCATTATGGTGCCAAATTTATAGTATATTGTATACTATATGTATCAGGCCTGTAGCCAGGATTTGCAAAGGGAGGTTTCACTTTTTGAAAAATTCAAGGGGGGGGGGGGGTTCACATAATTTTTTTTAAATAAATGCTTTTGGGCATTTAGCTATATATGTTTTTATGAATTGTGCACATGGCCATATATACAATGTAAACTAGTTTTTATATATCTTATTTCTCGTTTCACAACTTCCCTTAAGTTATCGATCTACACATATAAAGTTAAAGGTAGAATCTGAGTAGGATATGGGGGCCGGTTTGGGGGGAAGGGGGGGGGGTTGTGTTGTTAGACAAGGTATCAAATATGTATGTTCATACACCTATACTGAATACAAGGCAATTTTCTGTAATAATTCTTGAAGATTCAGTCTTTTATTTCAGTTCTGAATACAACAGTTAATGAGAAATCGCCACATAAAAACAATCTTTTGACATGTCAGACATTCATGTTCCTGATATATGATTATGCTTGATGTATAGAAGAAAATAAAGAAAAGACTAAAAGAGTATGTTGACTTTCTACTTCTCTACATTCTACATGCATGTATATCACTTGTTGGTTTCTGGTTTCAGAGTTGCTTGTCTTCACAGTTGCCACAGCAGAGACTGATGGCTTCAAGAGGTTTATCAGGTCAACCAAGAAATATGGTCTCAGTGTCAAGGTGAGTTGAAAATCTTAATTTGTTTCAGCAATATGATAAGAAGACCCACACTCCCACAAGCCATTTCGTTTGAAAAAGGTCATACTTTGTGGAAATTTGGGCCTATTTTCCAAAAAAATAAGACCTTTATTTCTGCTGAAATGAGCATTTTTTAGTCTCAAAGTGAAAACAAATTAGCTATACCCCAAAGATTATTTGTGTTTACCTTTATAGGTAGAATAATTTGATTATAAATCAACATTTAAAACTTTCAGTGACTTAGAACTTTTTAAAATACCCAAACTTTTGTCAATACAGTATTTATACAATATATCTGGCCAGCTGTAGCATTTTTGTAAAATGTTCTTTTTATCAAAAACTAAACATTCATCAAATTTAACGCTTTGTTGGGTTAGGTAATGTTTAGGTTAAACACGGGATACTAGAGTATCCGCGTATATTGAGTATGACCGGTTCTTAGGCTACGAATATAACCTGTTTTGGAAAGTCATGAGAGGCACAGCTGCTTAAAAATGGAAAATAAAGGTTAACTTCTATATTATCCTTTTTGAAATTGTGTTTGTTGAATATAGTTTATGCTGTATTTAATAGTAATGTAACAAAAAAATGTTAAACATGAGCTATTTTAGCAATGTAACTGTTCATAATGGAATATCAATCAGAAAGTACAGATTTCTCGCCTTAGAGCCAAATCATTAATATCACAGTAGAAAAAAACAAATCCCAAACCTTTTTATGGCTAACCTGAACAAGATCTCCAAATCTCAGTTTATATGATCCCCCGTAGAGTGAGCAAGAGAAGGATTTATCTTTTCCCAGAGGATACGCTTGTGAAATGTCATGGAAACGAGTGTAACACGGCCCACTGATTGATGTGATCGGAATGTTACCGGTGTAGAATACGAGTGTATGCATTGAGATCACTTAAACTCTCCATTATGGTACCCTCGAACGTGATCGTTCAAGGTGTCCTTGCTTTTATAAATCTTGCCACACTGATCGCATTCAAAAACATCATAAACAGAGGTGTGCTTTCTGGACATATGCTTTGTAAGACTATTTTTGTGTGTGGTGTTAAATTCACACAACGCGCACAACAGTATCTTGCGTTTTGTGGCATCGGGATCGCTAGTACCAATCAGCTGTTGAATACCTTTATGGGTAGACTGACAAATTTTATCCAGTTCATTTCTGTTTTCATCCAGGTACATAATATGCTGCATTTCCTCTTCTGCGCCAACACTGATGACACTGAGGTCAAGCTCCTCAATAAGAGGTGTTACTGATGCTGCCATCTGAAAAATGTTGTATTTTAAGTTAAATGTGTAGTTTCAGCAATTTGGTTACAAAGTAATATGTTTATATTTTCAAATACATGATAAACTTTTCTTTCCATGCATTGTAATGTATTGGTATAAAACCTGTCTTATTATATTACTGAAATTCGATAAAAAATGTTCTAAAAGCATTACTTTCGCCAACATTCTGAAATCGGGTCAACTGATTTAACCACAAATCTACAAAAGGTCTGAAATGGGACAACATAATTATAATCAAACAAGGCTATTGTTTTCGGTCTACGTTTAACTGAATTCTTTTGGAAAAAATAGGCTCTTGACACTATAAGTCTTATTTAGTTCTTCCCACTTTATATTGGAGACCTACTGAAAGCGTCTGAAGAGCCTCAACATTCTGGTATTTCGAATTACCTTTTGCATCTGTCACCGCTAAAAGTCCAAACACCGGTTAAATGCCGATCCAAGACATTTCACAACCGTATTCTCCAATAATGGGGCACCAGTGACATTCGTATTCTCAAAAATTCAAAGATGTATCATATTTGGACAGAGCAGGCTAAATTATTTAAAATATTCATGACTAATTCGTAGATCTAGCTATATATTATACATAAGATGTGTCATCCTCTTCGGAGTTGCGTTGTGTTACACAAAAACTGATCAAAGATGCTGGAAACTAGGATTTTACGGCTTCAATCTAATATTAATACGTTTTCTCTTGATTAAGGCCCCTTGTGATATGCCTGGCATTATAAGTATACCAAGTATCATTCATTGACCAAGTAGGATAAAAAGAAAACGTTCGAAAGTGTTCATAAAAAGCAAGTACTCACCTCGTCTGTTTATAGGAACAGAAATACGGTCACACTCGTAAGCTTAGAACCGGTCATACTCAATATACGCGGATACTCTAGTTACCCGTGTTAAATCTATTTGCATATGGTATTCAATAATATGACAGAGATTCAACTCTATATTATTATCCCATCCAACGAAGTTCGGAGGGATATAGGGAACGCCTCCGTCCGTCCGTCCGTACGTACGTACGTCCGTCCGTCCGTCAGTCCATCCGTCTGTCCGTCCGTCCGTCCGGGCAATAACTCAAATACCGTTGGCCCGATTTTGTTCATATTTTGTACACATATACCCTATGGGGGTAGGAGTTCTGCTCGAAAGCCGATTTTCAAAATGGCCGCTCATTTCAAAATGGCGACCATTTTAGTGCCGATTTTACAGTAATTTAGGTGCAATATGTAAAACTGTAATAGCAATATGTTTTTAGAGTAAAAAAATTATAAAGGACATTAATAAAACTACAAATGTAGATATTAAAAAGCACATGGCAGCCATCTTAAAAAATGGCGGCCTTTACTCGTTATTTTACGATTTTTGCTGTAACTCGAAAAGTAGTGGAGCGATTTTGTTTTTATTTGGTATGTGAATACTATAAACATTGATCACTGTCTAAAGACACTTTTGGTAGAATTTAACATATTTTACTATAACTCGAAAAGTAGTGGAGCGATTTTGTTCATATTTGGTATGTGAATACTATAAGCATGGCACACTGTCCTATGACACTTTTGGTACAAGGCGGCCATTTTGAAATTTTTTTTTGAAAAATGGCCGCCATTTTAATGTATTTTACTATAACTCGAAAAGTAGTCGAGTGATTTTGTTCATATTTGGTATGTGAATACTATAAGCATGGCACACTGTCCTATGACACTTTTTGAAATTTTTTTTTGAAAAATGGCCGCCATTTTAACATATTTTACTATAACTCGAAAAGTAGTGGAGCGATTTTGTTCATATTTGGTATGTGAATACTATAAGCATGGCACACTGTCTAATGACACTTTAGGTAGTAGGCGACCATTTTGAAAAATGGCCACCATTTTTACGTTTTTTACTATAACTTGAAAAGTAGTGAAGCAATTTAGTTCATATTTGATATGTGAATACTTACGAGCTTGAGCATTGCACACTGTCTCATGACACTTCAGATAGTAGGCGGCCATTTTAAAAAATGGCTGTCATTTTTACATTTTTTACTATAACTTGAAAAGTAGTGGAGCGATTTTGTTCATATTTGATATATGAATACTCTAAGCATGGCACATTGTCTAATAAAACTTTGGGGTGTAGTCGGCCATTTTGAAAAATGGCCACCATTTTTATGTGTGTTATTTTACAAGTACATGTGTGCGATTTTTCAAAAATTTTATAGGTGGCTACTTAAAAGCATATTATTTCTTCTGATGATAACTTGGCTAGTGAGCAACCATTTTGAAAATGGTGGCCTTTCTGGTGTGTTTTTATGATATTTGCTGTATATTTCGTTTGTAAAAATGCCAGCCATTTCTGTTCGATGGGATTCGCTACGCTTTGGTGTTGCCGTTGTTCTGGTTATAATAATTGATATTGTTTTCAAATGTCAATTATATATTGTAGCTCTCTGTAGCGAGTAAAGACTCTTTCTATGCTCTTTAGGATTAAGATTTTTTTTCCGTTTTATGTTACCGTATCATCCTCCCAGTAGGACGTAACCCTTATATTACTATGTGGTTTAATTTAGACCCTTGGTCTGGGAGAGGAGTGGAAGGGAGGAGATATGGAGATGGGAACTGGAGGTGGTCACAAGATCATACTATTGAAGGAGGCCATGGAGCAGTATAAAGACAGGGAGGACCTTATTGTCATGTTCACTGACAGGTCAGTACATGTTCAAAATTTATGTCAATGATTTAAGGTTCAGCTGGAAAGTAACATTTTGGTAAAAAATTGCTATACCTGCACATGGAAACAGGTCAATGGTAGCTCCTGTGTTGTCTGGAAACTTTGAAAGAAAATTTGGAAAAATAGAAAGTGTGAAATATCAGAATTTCCTGGAGTTCCCATTCACCTCTTACCAGATATACTAAAAGAAGACAATGTAATAATACTTTCCTGAAAAAAGCAAGGAATTTAACACATGCCTTCATACTTTATAGTGTACCAGAAAATAACATGTGCAGGTATAGCAATTTTTTACCAAAATGTTTTTTTCCACCTGTCCTTAAAACATTTGTGTCCAGGGTGTGACATAAGCAAGAGTCAAATGGTCCTGATCAGTTTCTTTCAGTCTAATCCAGCTTTCTCTTTCATTGTTTATCTTTGACCAGTATATCGAAAACCCTCACGAAACACCCTATTTGTGTAAGTGAGCAATCTTTTTCAGATTTAGTCAATTTATCAAAACTGTCAAAATAAAAAATTGCTTATTCTATTGTGCATATCAATATGACATGTAGAATCAATTGGTACCACTTTGAAATTCTGATAAAGTAGAGCATATGTATACAACACAATACCAGGATTGCCAATTGTTAAAAAAATACAGTGAAACCTGTATATCTGAACACCTGGCTAACTGACTGAGTTATTAATATTTATTTGGGTTACTTTTTTGACTCGCCTCACCCTAAAATTTCAAGCCAATTTGTTACACTCAAATTTTAGATCATCTCAAATATTTCTTTTATCTTCTATTTTCAGCTATGATCTTGTGTTCACAAGTGGTGAAAAAGATATCCTGGCAGCATTCGAAAAGATGAACTCCAAAGTTGTGTTCTCTGCAGAAGGGTTTTGCTGGCCTGATAGAGATCTAATGGTTGGTACATGTGTTCTTGAAGATATGTTTTGTAAAGCATTGGGTCACATCCTGAAGTACATGTACAATGTATATCAAAATAATGTCCATTCAGCAGTTATTGAAAATGATCATGAATTTAACATTTTTTTTAATGAAATGATGCATATTTATTTTACATGATTAATCAAATGGGATAGAGAAACATTGAAATTATTGCATAAAGTTATATGCTAATTTTTTATGTGATGGTTGATTGTGATTCCAGGATGATTATCCACTTGTAAAGATGACTGAGAAGAGGTACTTGAACTCTGGAGGTAAGAGTTTAGTGCTCCCTTTTAAGGCTATAAAGCCATGAACGGCCAATGAAACATTATTACTACATAGTAATGTACAATAAATATTACATTTACTTGGCTGCATAGTATTTGATAAATCAAAAGTTATAATATTAAGCCAGTGATCATCACAAAGTTCACATTGTCTTATTTTGAAGATTACATACAGAATCCATGATGTAATATTTTGACAACCGAGAAAGTTACAATTTTTTCCAAAAAGTTGTACAGGGTGTCATTAAAAGTTACAATACAAAAAACAAGTTGCAAAGTACCAAAAATCACTTTTGAAGTGTCCTTTATCCTGGAAGTCTCAGAATAATCATATGTGTCATTTCATGCCAAAAGTAAAACTTCACTTCACTCACATATATTACAAAGGTTCATTTTTTCGCAAGATAAAAACAAAGGATTAGACCCATTTCTCTGATTAGCTTATGGGTATGTATTAATATGTTGCTTATGTTGAAATATGTTTTTCTTTTCTTTTCAAATTACTTCTACAGAAAAGATATTTTCACATGGCCTCTGAGATATAGAATAGGACTATATATTTATCATCTACAAATGGTGTTGTTTTCAGGATTCATGGGTTATGCCCCACAAATATACTCTATATTGACCAGTTCAGCTGTCGGATTTGAGGATGATGACCAACTCTTCTACACCAAGATTTTCCTCAATAAAGATCTTAGGGTAAGTAGCCCATTATGATTGAGAATCCCAGTAAAACCTTGTAGAGGATGTAACACAATCATTTTTTATTTATCGTAGAGAATATTGAAAAATCAAGATATTTTTTTTTAACAAAACTAGGTTTGTGATTGCTATTTAGTTCTTACTGCAGTTCTATTATTTCTCAAATACCAAAGGATAGAATGAAAAAGATTAATTTTGTTTCATATAATTTCAGAAACAGCTATCAATCAAGTTGGACACCAAGAATGAAATCTTCCAAAATCTACATGGTGCATTAGGTAATGTTGGCAATTTTATCTTTAAATAATATAATTTTGTTGTCAGATAATATATTAATAAGAAGATATTTCATGAATATGGATAGATAGAAGGGTTGTGATAACCACAAGATAAAATATTTTGTTGGATGGTGTTCAGTGGTGAATGTTTGGTGATTGGTGTTCGATGGTCTGAGTTTGGTGGTGTGTGTTCAGTGTCTGTAACATATGGCTGGTGGTGACATTTTGCATGTTAATGCCTTGTTGTATCTATGATAATGCTTACTCAGCTGTAAAATCCTGGATGTATGTAATTGTTTTAGATGAGGTCAAACTGAAGTTTAAGGGAGGAAGCAGCTTTCTGTACAACACATATTCTGGGAGCACACCTATGGTAGTTCATGGAAATGGCCCCATCAAGGTACAACATATATAGCTTGTAATTTGCCTACATTTCTGAACCACGAAGCATCAACTTCCTAAACTTTATCCAAAACCTTGAAGATCACAAGTACAAGTAACATGAGAATGACTCCATCAAGGTACTTTCTTCAATGCAACTTTCTCAGTTAAGTTGTCCTTCTTGTTATGGAACATTTTACAATTGGGGATAATAACTTCAAGTTAAAGTTGAATGGAAAATTGCTTTCAATCTAGATTGCATGTGTAATTTCAACTATATGTATTTGGTTCCAGCCTGAATTCAATGCTTTAAACAACTACCTGGTAGACCACTGGACACCAATCAATGGCTGTCAAGGTTGTAAAGAAGACACCATCTCCATCAATGGACTCAAGGTTAGGAAACACTTGTATTCTCCTGTCTCCACTATTAATAATGTTGTGGCAAAATGCATGTGTGACAACATTTATATATTTTGTTGTGTATTTATTTGATGAGTCTGATTTATTTTAAATTTTGTTGTTAAAATTGTAGTAGATTTAGAATTTTAGAAAACTACATTTAAGGAATTTAGGAACCTCTGAGCCTAGAAGTGTTGTAACAAGATCATTTTTTTTTTATTTGTTATAGGAAGAAGATCATCCCAAGGTTCTCCTTAGTATCTTTATTGAAAGACCAACACCTTTCATTAAGGAGTTCTTTGAGAAGGTAGCAGCTCTGAAATACCCCAAGAGCAGAATTGACATCTTTCTACACTATGCTGTAAGTTAGATTCTAACTCTTTGAAATTCCATTTTTCATTGTATCACATTTTGAACTGTAAGTAAAAATATTTTTCAGTTGTAATTTATTTATCTTATGATAATCTTGGAATTAGGAAAAGACACCTGGTAAGGTAATATTCTTGTATATGCCAGGGTGTAGTAAGGATTTCACACCTACTGGTCAAAATTGAATTTTGAGTTACTAGTACCATGTTGTTTTTCTAAAACCTCCCTCTTGGGACCCTGTCACACTGTACTAATATGCATTGTGCAATATGTCATGTGTATTATCTATTTGCAGGATACTTACCATACTGAAGATGTGAATAAGTTCCTCCTAGAACACCAGAATGATTATGCCTCCGTCACTCAATATACACCCGAGAGTAAAATTAACCAATGGAAAGCCAAAAATATGGCCATGTAAGTATAATACCTTGACATCATTTAAAATCGATTTGACATGGAAACTGTTAGGGGTCACACGGTTAACCGTGGCTTGCGGTTACCGCGGTTCATACCTCCACGACGGTTAGCTCGCACACAATCTTGAAAACCGCGGTTCTTGAAGAACCGTGACATTTTCAGTTTCACTTCAGAAAAATAAAAATGTAAACTCGGAATTAAACTCCATTTCAAGCTTTCGTGTAATACCAATTAACTAAACATCGTCTGGAATCGTTAATCATCATGCAATAATGCGAAACATACCTGATATTTACGACGATCTTCTGATATAGACGGCAGATAACAAAAACAAAAGGAAAATGTTGATAAATTTCACCGGCATATTGACCTGGAAGTGACCTATGCCAGGGGGGGAGATTTCCCAAAGATGCCCTATCATATTAGCACGTTCGAAAACAAATTTTATAAACAGGCCTCAATTTTCCGTTGAAATGGATCTCCAAATGTTCACTGTAGTTTTATGAGTATTCTCTACAAGTATGGATCGAGTAACTTCAATAGTATTACCGTAGGTTTGAAATGACGATGTTGAACTGATGTAAACGCCATTCTCACGATTTAAAATTTAACTCTGCGCATGCGCAGCACTGAGAGAGCATGTGCCCATGATTGTTCACGTGATCGAATCCTGCAATTTGATTGGAGATGATGCAAGAGATGATGTAATGGGGAATCCCCGAATACGATAGAATATGAAAGAATTATGGGAGCTACTCACTCCTCCTGGACCTACGCTAAACATTTCGCACAATCCTATTGGTTGATAGAACAGTATACTGTAAAAAGCCGAACGCCGAATGCATTGAATTTGCGAACGAGTCACGTTCTGTGTATTACGTTCGCCTTTGATCCATGTTGAGTCCTGACAAAGTAATTTTGCCAACAGTTGACAAGTTATTTTGTGTTGAAAAAATTTGAACATCAAACAAGAAGATCAACACAGTGAACACACAGATATTTTTGAAGGGAGGGAGGGAAAAAAGACTGAACAAACAAACAAACATTGTGTGAAACTGGATACTTACAATACTGAATACAATAAAACACTGTGACACACTTAGTATGTTTTCTGATTTTCGGATCAATTTCATATATTTTTGCTCATTTCACGAGGCCCGTGAGAACCGCAATCAGAACCGAACCGAACTGTGAAATACAATCACCGAACCGAACCGTGAAATCTCAAACCGTGTGACCCCTAGAAACTGTTCGTTGATGTCATATAATTGGCTCGCTGAAATACTATAAAACGAGAATTCACAAAAATGTGCTTTACCTATGGCTCAATCACTTTTGATCTACAGCATCCGTACGGTGACCGTAGCTTCCCAAAATCGAGAGTAATATAAGATATAGAGATAAAAAGCAATACAATGTTGATTTTCTATATCGATTTTGTGTATGGCTGATATACGATGACCAAATGTGACTGAGGCTTTAAGTGCATACAAACATAATTGAATATATGTTCCAGTGATGAGTGCATCAATATCAACTGCCAGTACTTCTTCATGCTGGACAGTGAGGCTCACTTAGACAATGCCAATGTACTGACAACATTGATAGAACAGAACAGATCAGTTATTGCCCCATTGATCATGCGTCCTGGCAAGCTCTGGTCCAATTTCTGGGGTGCTATAGGGAGAGATGGTTTCTATAAACGTTCTGATGACTACATGGAAATTATTGAATACAGAAAAAAGTAGGTTTATTTAAGATATAAGCAACATTCATATTTTAATATTTAGCATTCAAATACCCATTGGACCTATTTGCAATATTCGAAGCATTCCAAGTGGGATTCGCTTAGAGCTCATACAAAAATCCTTGTGATCAGCGCAATACATGAAAATCCTTGGAATATTAACACTAAAACATTTTAGCTAAGTGTAGTGTTGTGTAAATCCAACTATTGAGAGGTTCTGATAGCTTGGAAGTCAGTGTAATTCCCACTGATCGCTCAAAGAAATAATTAAATATTTCGCATTTTCAGAGGAATCTGGAATGTTCCATACATGGCCAATGTTATCTTAGTGCATGGTCACAGACTGGAGGAACTTAGGGGAGCTTTTCTCAATGGAGACCTGGACCCTGATATGGCCTTCTGCAAAACACTTAGAGATAAGGTACATTATATATTTTTTGTCGATTTTATTTGATTTGATTATCATGTTAAATGATTCACATGTATTTGATTCAGCAATATCAGATGATGTTTCTTTTCTTATTGTTGTTTTCCTACCAAAGGGACTGAAATGTGAGCTGTGACATAATAATGAAGAAATACATAAATCATATCAAATGCAGTATTTATTTATATAGGAAGATGCCATGTCTTGTTTGAAGATTCACATGATCATGATTTTGCTCAAGAATGTGTCCATGTATGCTACTGACAAGGATAGCTACATTCAACCAATCACAGAATAATAAAGCAATCATGTCTTTTATGAAAAATGATCTGAATATGGATTTTATTCCAGAGTGTGTTCATGTATGTGATGAACAAGGTTGACTATAAAACTGTATGATATGTTCATTTCAATAGACCTGTGTTCAACCAATCACAACCATCAAGTAACCATGTCTTGAATGAAAAATGACTCTGATTTTATTCCAGGGTGTGTTCATGTATGTGATGAACAAAGCTGACGACTATGGTCACCTGATCAACAGTGACAATGTTGATCCAACGCACGTCCATGAAGAGATGTACCAGATGTTTGACAACAGACAGGTACACATAATGGATGGTGTTGAAATGGAAGAATGATGTTTATTTCATTTGGCTTGAGGGTATAAATGAGGAATGATGATTTTTTGAATGATTCAAGTGAAAGGCAAATCAACATTTTAAAATTCATTTTTTGTGATATGAAAATATTGTAAAGTTGTAATATTTTATGTATTGTTGGATATATGTTTGGCTGTTGGGCATCAGTGCAAATAAATAAATGCTTTAGTTAATACAAGGGTGGATGTTAAACCATTATGAAATCAACTTAATATTTCCAAAACTGTCATCATTTTGACACAAGCTCTAAGGTGATGAAGCTAAAAGGTTGAAAGGAGCATGTCATTATGATGATCCACCATAGTCAATTGACGTAGCTTATCAAAATATTTCAATTTCAATTTGTTTATTTCACAAAACACATACAATATACATATACAATGAGTGGGTGACACAAGGGTTTGTGTATATTCCCAAGATTGATTAAATTTACAAAGTATGTTTAGTGACATATTTCTGAACTAGGCTATTTCTTACTTAGTGACACAACTCACCCTGATTAATTGATTCGATTCTATTAATTTCATGAGTGGCAATACAAGTAATCTTTGACAGAGTGCAATTATTTGTAAAACCTGCACACATGGAACATCTTTGGTACCTCTAAAAGTGTTCCAGTGAGGGAGTGTGCGTGATAGTGGGTTGCTCTAATGAAAACAACAATATGAGTCGAAATTTATTGAGTGAAGTTCTCAAATATTGACTCAGTCTTTTTGTTTAGGATTGGGAGAGAAAATACATCCACCCAGATTACTACAAGCACCTGAATGAGCTAGAGTTGACACAACCCTGCCCTGATGTCTACTGGTACCCTGTTGTGACCCCTGAGTACTGTGAACACCTTATTGAGATCATGGAGACGCATGACGGCGGAAAAGGGTGGTCTGGGGGCAAAAATGAGGTATGTTCCGGAGAGAAATATACTTTCAGTTCATGCCTCTGGAAATATATTGTATTGCTCTGATGGTGTACTGAAACGGAACTGAGAAATTTTGAAAATCATTGGAGCCCTAATAGTGGTCGGACTCGCCTGAAAATCTCCACTCGAGTGGGCCATGAAAAACCACGATTATAATCGCGATTTGACTTAGTTGAGTTACTTTTCTGTTTCAGTTTCCGAAGTAGCGGCAGAATTCATCAATTTGATCAAGTCTTTCAAGTGCCTTTATACTTTTTATTGTCTAAATCGTATTGCACATCCCTATAGATCGTTAAAGTTCACCGCTAGTCCCCTATAGATAGTAAAACTTACCGAATAAATAGTGAAAACAAACTTCGTCAATCCAGAAAGTTCCAGGATGCACCGCGGTAGACAAATATTTTAAAATTCCCGGCTGTTGGATATTCCCAGAATGCATCAAACCGGAAATGAAACTTTTGCATAAAAATAACGAACGCAGAATAAAATCCGAGTATGTTTGTCTTCCGCACATGGCATTAAATAGAAAATAAGTTGTTTTCTATACAGATTAAGCAGAACATTACAACTATAAGCATGGAAATTGCGAATAGGAGAGACGAATCGCGAGTCAAGGTAAGGTGAAAACGAGTGAAAAATAATTTTTGGTAAACATTTCAAATCGCGAGTTCAAGTTTTCAACTCGATCAATTGATTTTTAGGACAAATGCGAGTAAAACTCGAGTACACGAGTCAGTCTTCCAACCACTAAGCCCTAATTTGTCGTCCTTGCATTCATCAGATAGTATTTTTTTTATTTAATGATTTAAAATTGTAAAAGCAATTTCTTTAGTACTTTGGTGTGTTCCCTTCAGCTATTGTGCTTACACATTGTTTAAGTTTTATATATATTACATTATATATTAATAATAGTCTAGTATTCAGTATATGACCAAATTGAAGACATATTTTGAATTATGTCTAGTTTTTAAATTGGTGCATGATGAGTTTTGATATTCTGTCAAAATGTAACATTGTTTGTATATCTAGGACGCGAGACTAGCAGGTGGCTATGAGAATGTCCCCACTGTTGACATCCATATGAACCAGGTTGGCCTTGAACCCCACTGGCTGACTTTCTTGAAGGACTACATAGCACCAGTCAGTCTGAAGGCGTTCCCAGGCTTTTACACAAGGGTAGGACTTCCTGGATTCCATGACAAGAAACACCCCTCTTACCAATCATGACTCAAACCGACACCCTCTAATTTTAGGCTTGTTTGGACTAAGAAATAGGCAGCTGTGGATGTGGCAGCTTGGCTTGTTGCATTTTGGCATCTTTGCAAGCATAAGTTTTTATGCATATGTATAACATCTTGGTTTTATGTACATGAATAATTTCAGTTTGGCTGGTGTACATTACAACTCCTTGGTGTTATACAGATGTATATAAAGCTTATGATTCTATGTCCAGAATAACTAATATTATAGCACCTAATATAGATTTTATGTCAAGTTGATTTTTCTCCATCCAGGATTCCCGATTATCTACTGGTTATGAGAATGTTCCAACAGTAGACATTCATATGAAACAAGTGGGATTGGAGAAAACCTGGCTTGAATTCCTCAAGGAGTTTATAGCACCCATACAGTTGAAGGCCTTCCCTGGGTATTACACAGATGTAAGCTCATTAGTAATCACCTTTCCCCAATAGACTAGATGCAAGTAGAAATATTCTTTCATCATTATATACTCGAAATTTAGTCAAATGGGATCTCAATCTCCTATTTGAAATCTACATAAAAAATTACATTCAAAAACAAGGTTTATCAATTTTGTAATTTTGATATTCTTTGAAAATGTGATTTCTAGGTTAGATAGATTCCCCATATAGCCCAAGTTTGGAAATCATGAGATTGAAGTGAAATGTCTTTTCTTGTTCTGCTGAGCAGACGATAATTAAAGACATTTGAAATTGTATAATTATTAAACTCCAAAAGGTTCTCTAAATCAATTTAAGTTACAAGAGATTTTTTCTATGTCTCCCATGTTATCTGACCCGAATTAGCAGCTGGTTTGGAAATTGGAAACTACCTACTTGCAACTAGGTTATTCACCTTTGAATAGCCAGGATTTAGGCTCTACACTGTGTTTGAATTTAAAATGATCAAGAGCTATTGATTGTGTTAGTTGCCTCTTTTCTGGCTATGGCCCATGTAGCTTTTAGTTGTATTGCACTAACTAGTTAATGAATTAACTAAAGCTTTATTCATCCAAACCATCTAACTGAACTTCCATACTATCTTGTTGTATTATCTGTTTTACTTCTTCATTTACATCTACTGACTTACTTTTTATTAACCAACAGAAATAGTCTAATTGATGTAGGATTGAATTAGACAACAGGCATGTATTTTTTTGCTTTATTGCTATAGTGTTAATGAGAATGTTTTAGTAGAGATGACTTAAATTGTTTTGCAAGGAAAAAATTGTCTATAAAAATGATTCGTAAAATATGGATTTTTGGCTAATTGCCTTAAATTGACTATATGGCATCAGTTTCAATTGAGCTGTCAGTCAATCACTGGGTATTAGGCACAACTTGAAATGATATGTTTTTACTGTTATATAAAATTTATTTTTGAATCTGTTACTCTTCATAGATTCTGAACCAGGGACCTGTTTTCTTAATTAAGTAACCACCATTTTTGTACTGGTATACGTTATTATCATCTGTAACAATTGTCATACTTACACACTTGATGACATTTTGCCATGCTAGGATTTGCTAGGAAGTGCGATATCGCAAAATCTTGATGAATTGTAATTTGCAGATTCTTCAAGATCTATATCTAGAATACCTGGTTTTGTGTGAAATGGACTGATTTTTCATTAATTTACTTTTCAGTCAAATGCCATTATGAACTTTGTGGTTCGCTACAAGCCAGATGAACAACCACTCCTTCGGCCACATCATGACTCCTCCACATTTACCATCAACTTAGCTTTGAATCGTGTAGGCGTTGATTATGAGGTATGTTGATATCAACGTCATCAATCTCCTATTTCACCTGATCGATGTTTTAATTTCAGACAGTTCGTTCAGTCAGTTTTTTATTTATTTAAAAACAAATCTTTCTCAAAAGCAAGCAATGCCAGGTGAACTAAATCGATCATCTATATACCAAGGTATGAGCAATTTGCAAATTATTTGCAGCCTTTGCAGTGTTAATTCTAACCGTTAGACTGTCTTCTAATTTCTCACCTACACTTTGCCAAGTTTTGATTTCCCATACAAAAAATATTTATTTTCGACATACTTTAATACCTAACCTTATATATTGTACACTCTTTGGACTTGACATCCTTCTTTTTCTATCTCCTCTCCTTAATATTTTCTTGAAATTTTCTTAAATACTAACATTCATCCTAACTGTGCAGCAGATAATTTCACATTGCTCTACATAGAATAAGGAAAATAGTTCTCTAGACTGTAGATCATGTAAACCCCTCTTTTAATGTGAGAGCTAAATCGCAAAACATTTAGTTGCTAACCAAATGTAGTTTAGTGAACGGTTCATGGAATACAGCATGATGCCTCATGCTGTTTTTTTGAGGTAAGCGTAATTTCATCATTTGGTGGCCATTCTAATGCTTAGTCTTGTAAATAATTTTCACTTTTAAATACCTTAAGTTCATCACCATTTCTCTTTTCCCTTGCAAAGATTTCAAAAGTTCAGAGTACCATGAGGTCTCTTGCAAGTTGGCTTTTAGAATTAAAGAACTATGTTTTAAAAGGAAATGTGGGGGGGGGGCTCTAAGAAAAATAGAAATTTACTCAACTACAGAACATCCATGATTAATGATTCACCATAAAGGGCAACATTCAAAAATACAAAACAATCCAAACTCCAAAATACCATATACAACTGAAATTTACCAGACTAAGCTGAGAATGTAGGCACATGATACCATACTGATATGTATCGTACTTTTGTAGGGAGGAGGGCCAAGGTTCCTACGGTATAACTGTTCTATGAAGGCCACTCGGAGGGGCTGGGCCCTAATGCACCCAGGGCGCCTCACACATTACCATGAGGGCATGCCTGTCACTAAGGGCACTAGATATATAATGGTCTCATTTGTAGACCCATGATAAACCAATTCACCCTTATATGTACACTGGGTTACATATGTGATAATGTACTACATGTATATACATATGTTATATGTTAAGTTATACATATGTTCACACATGGTCTCTTTTAGACCTTAAATAAGATGCATTTAACAAATAAATATTATTAATTGGTAAAACTTAATGTAGTCAACTTCACATTCTTAGTGAGGTCTTGCAAAGGGCAGCTTCATGTAGAATTGTATTACTCGAACTCTAATGCATTGATGTAGCTTAGAACTGAGAAAAAATGATTGTCGGCAAATGAAAAAAATGATTGAATGTAGTGTTCGATATAGAAAGCTTTGGAGTACGAGTGAGGTACTTAAGTGAGAACTTTATAAGATATAGATGAAGAGATCTAGAAACAGGAAGGTTGTAATTTAGAAATTACACAATATTGTCATTCTGGAAACCAGTAAATCAATTGATTTGTATGTTTTTCATGCTGCATTTTCAGGGTGGAGGCTGCAGATTTTTACGCTACAATTGCAGCATAACTTCACCACATCGAGGTTGGGCCCTCATGCACCCTGGTCGTCTCACTCACTATCATGAGGGACTTAGAACAACCAGTGGAGTTCGATATATCATGGTCTCCTTTGTAGACCCATAAGTCAACAGCATCCCTTCACACGAATCTTTTCAACCTTGGGTCACAGTATAGACTTTATTGTAAGGATCTCACAATTTCAAAATGTTCAGTCTTAACACACTCTATTTAGCCTGCGTGCTAGATTGCATTGTCTTAATTAGCATAATGTTGACTGTAGACTAAATTAAAATCAAACCCCTGTCTCGCCCCCTCCATGTTCTCTAATGGGGGAAATATATATTATGGGGGGAGGCAGAGGCTCGATTTCGACAAAATTTGCAAAATAATGGTTGTGTATTATCTATATTAAAGTGATTTAAAAATGCAAGGTTGAATCGATACTTCGTGGGATCAGTTAATTTACATAAATGTATTTTATATATAGACACTGCTGATATTTCTCAAAGATGCTTGCTCATTTGTTGTTGCGTAGTGGCGGTTGCAAAGAAACTATACAATCATGTACATATGTTAGGGGCGGGTGTACTTAATTTAACCACATGTTCTAAATGTAAAACATTACTTAATATGATTGTATACTATATCAATTTTGGTCTTATGTTGGGTATCAAGATTTATAAATATACCTGGCACATTTAGTAAATAAGCATTTTCTCTCTGATTAAAGGCAATGCAATATTTTTTTCATCTTTCTTTTCTTGAAGGACTGTTTTTCACTTAAAATTTGATTGATGTGAAATACATTGAAAACCCTTAAACCTGCAATTTAACTTTTCAATTTTTTTCAAGTGGTTTGAATCGGTATATATCATTTTTTTTGCAGGGTGAATGTACATTGTAAAGTGCAAAATAATATGTGCATATAGGCATTTAGTCTAACACATTTGGGATATTGCATTTAATATTAAATTCATATTTGCAGAAATATTACTTTCAAGTTGATTTTCCATCGATTACATCAGAAAATGAAATCTAAATGTGAATCACTATTAATTAAAGAGGCAGTAGAGACTAAAGAGTGTAAAATGTAATAAGCAGTATTTTCAAAAATATGCCAATATTTCCCTTACAATTCTAATTTCATTTTCTGAAACTGATATACATTTACATGTATTTAATCAAATGAAAGTTATTGAAGATACAAGATGCATGAATGTCTAAATTCATAAGAATTGAAAATAAACGGAGTTCACTTTTTAGATTTATGGTGGATAACCTTCAAATGATCATCCTGAAATGTAGTCAACTTTTCGATGTTTTAGAAAATAGTCATAAAATGGAATGATGAGAGCAAAAATATTGTAAAACTGTGACAATTTTCTCAATTTACTCTCTTCTTGTCTTTGCAGTCCTTTTAATATTTGTTTGCACTATGAGTTTTGTGATTTGATCAATATATTCAAGTGTGATAACAGTATTTCGTTTCATTTGTATCAGCATTAGTTATTAGAAATATAACATACGTGTAGGTGCCAGTTGGTAGGTGCTATGGTATATTCACCAACGATAGATCACAATAAAATGTATCAATGCTATAACAGTAGAATTTGTCAATATCGAACAGTACAGGGATGAATTGAAGAGATTTTGATAACATTGGAGTTATGAAGACAAATTGACTGAAAAGTGATTGAGATTTGTAGATGTTCTTCGAGAAGTGCTCACGTAAACAGGTTTTACTCTTCAGTATTTAGTTTTTGTAACATGATAATGAAAGGTAATATTTGCCCCGATTCATCGGCCGGCGCCTGGGCGATTAAATGTTTTGTTCAATATTGTATTCAATTTTGAACAAAATACTCAATTGGCTGGGCGCCGTAGTGAAAATCGGAGCAAATGTGACCAAGGCATTAGGCTTAATTGTATGTAATGAGGCATTAATGAGGGTGCTATGAGTGTTTGGTTTTTAGTCACATAATGTGTCTTATGTTTAAGCTTTATATGCAACAAGGTTGTTAAGCATTGTTTCAAACTTTGTATTCTGAGTGTAGAAGTTGTTTGGAGCATATGAGGACACGAAGGACTGGAATGAGATTTTAGATTTTTAGACATTTTGTACATTTTCAAGGGAGTGATCAAACTTGATGTTGTACTTAGTGCTTGACTAACATTGAGATCATATGCAATGAATTACGCAATAACAAGAAATCCTGAATTTCAAAGTTGATGTATAAATCCAAACAGAACATTATTGAGTATGTCTGGAGCCACTGAAATATCAAAGAGAAACCTATTGTTTTTACAACAAACATTTTGATAACAATAATATATTGTATTTTGGGTGTAAGTATAATGTAGCCCATCCGTGAGATTATTATATGCTGGAGATTACAACCACCACCTTATATGAAATTGTATTTTACTTATGATGTAATATTACCTTATAGTGTTTTCATAATATTGTTATGTACAACCCTAATCCACACTCTGAAATCATGGTACCTATTCACAATACTATATATAATGTTGGGATAATGGTAACATTTGTGAAAACAGTGTTGTTCTGTATTTCACTGTACTGTACCTCACCTGACAGGGGTTTCTTTAGCAGCAGGCAACAGATGATTTTCACTGGTTGTTTTCACAAAATCGCCTGTTGTTTTCCATATTAAATTCATGATTTCCATTAATTTTGCCTGTTGTTTTCATTTATATAGCCTGTTGTGAGAAATTCTAGTTAAACCCCTGCCTGATAAGGTTCTGTATGGTACTGTATGGTTCAGGTTGGCTGTGTATAGGTAACAAAATTGCTTTAATATGAATATTCTAATTCCAAACCTGTACAGGGGATAGGGCTTAAGGTAACATTTGTGTACAAATAAGTTATTCTAATATGTAAATACACACTTTCTCTAGTCAAATGGTGGAAAAGAACAAAACTTTTTGAACAAAATAATGACACTTAACCTGTATTTTAGGCATTTGTCTCAAAAGGTATCAAATATTATTGAAAAGTACTGATTGAATATGCAAGATGTATTTCAACAGCTATTTATCATACAATTAAACACTGTTTGAGGTGTATACATACAATTATATGTAAGCTCTGCCTTGATGACTATAATTATTGAGCTATTAGAAGCGCCATCCAAATACAACTTGCCCAGTAGTCAGTACTCTTTGTACAAGTACTAACATGTAGTCAGTACTCTTTGTACAAGTACTAACATGTATGAAAAGATGCAATATTAATATGCAATAAATGAAATATACATTTTCAATAAAATTAATATTTTGTTTGATATTTGCATTGTCGTAAGTGTATTATCTATGATCTCATGTATAAAGAAAGTATATGAAATTGAATTGTTCTTCGGGATCAGATCTATGTTTCTAGGTCAGAACAACAGAACCTTTTCAATTTCACATGCAGGATAATTTAATTGGATAATTTCATTGAATCCATCAAAAATGTGTATGAATTTATATAAACTAAAAATGTGATAATATCCAAAAATCTGAAGTACTCTAGCCTAATCATTGCTCCTATGCTATTGCATGGCGCAATCTTTTGACGGTGTATAACTACCTTAATTATAGTTCAGATTGAACACCCTCTCCCAAATTGTACTTCATTGATTTTTCACAAATCCCAGTTACCTACTTTTGAAGCTCAATGTTGATGTTTTTTTTTGTTTTTTTTATTTCCTTTTCAACATTTTACAATACAGAGTTATTAGTCAGCAGGAGTAATAGAAGAAAAAAATAAAATTAGTACCGTGGGTACTAGGCTCACATGGTGTTGCTCAAAAGTGAAAATAAAAAAGACGGGTATAATTTTTTGCAGATTTTTTGTGACAAAATTATTTCATATAACTACTCTTTACATAGACATGGCTTTTTACAATGCAGCACACCTGAACTTATTTGTAAAGCTAGGAAATGGGCCAAAAGTGAATTTCCCAAGACAAAAATGGTGGCCATTTTGAAAATAGGCAAGATTTTGAAGCAGGAGTCACAGGTTTTTTTTTTCTTTTTGATGTTGAAGAAAAATATTTTAAATCAGGAATCCTATCTACAGAGGATTTAAAAAGTGTTGACAGAGGTTTAAAACTTGCCACTATTTTGGACTGACTGAGAGACAGATGGACGGATCAATGTTAACTAAAATGGCTGAAAATAAAAAAACGGATATAATATTTTGCTGATTTTTTGTAACAAAATTATTTCATATATCTACTCTTTACAGTGACATGGCTTTTTACAATGCAGGACAGCTGAAATTATTTGTAAAGCTAGGAAATGGGCCAAAAGTGAATTTCGCGAGACAGGAATGGCGACCATTTTGAAAATATGCGAGCTTTTGAACCAAGAGTCATAGGAGAGTTTTTTGTATTGATGTTGAACAAAATAGGAATGGCGACCATTTTGAAAATATGCGAGCTTTTGAACCAAGAGTCATAGGAGAGTTTTTTGTATTGATGTTGAACAAAATTAACTTAAAACAGGAATCCTATCGACAGAGGGTTTAAGGCAAATGGTCCAAAAGTGGATTTTGCGAGGCAGATGGACAAATCAATGTTAACTAAAATGGCTGCAAATAAAAAAATGGATGGAATTTTTTGCTGATTTTTCGTAACAAAATTATTTCATACATCTACTCTTTACATTGACATGGATTTTTACAATGTAGGACACTTGAAATTATTTGTAAAGCTAGGAAATGGGCCAAAAGTGAATTTCGCGAGACAAAAATGGTGGCCAATTTGAAAATAAGGCGAGCTTTTGAACCAGGAGTCATAGGGGAGTTTTCTGTATTGATGTTGAACAGAAATAACTTAAAACAGGAATCCTATCGACAGAGGTTTTAAAACGTGCCACTATTGTTGACGGACAGACAGATGGACGGATGGACGGACAGACAGAGGAACAAGTGAGCGATTGCAAAAGCTCACCATGTGAGCTAATAATAACAACAAATACAAACATTTTACAATAATTTTCTCATTTCTAGTTCGTTTCATCCTCCTAAGCAGGTGTCCAGAATCCGTACCTCCTTCATCCCCCCTGCTATAACCAAATTGGAAGTGCCCGATTAAACTGAATCACGTGATCTTGTATTATGCGCAATGACTTATACATGATTTCTGTCGCAGTGTTGCGACAGCCAATCAGATTGCGAGTTCTTAATCGGGGAAATGCCAACTGCTTATCGCAGGGGCTAAAAAGAAAGAATATATTCTGGATTTTGAACCCCTGTGATCGGAGGTTGAGTTCGTTTTGAAATAGAAAAGCTATATTTGGATGTTCTCCATATTTAAACTTGCTTATGCAATGTTTTGCGATAAGTATGACTTGATTTACATAATCTTGTACAGATTCTTTTTTGTTCTTATAAAATAAAAGTACATCTACATCGGTGAAAGTAATATTTTCATATTTTCTTTTTAACACTGTTTTTATTAAGTGTCACCGAATAAGAAGCTCAATGTTGATTGGATATCAAAATTATTTCTTATTTTAAGAGATAAGACCAGGTCAAGTTCTTGAAAAGGGTTATATGTTTGACGGTGTATGACTATATTAATCAACTTCTCATGAACATCTAACGCTTGTCAAAATGGTGAGTTTATGTTCAATAAAACATGCTATGTGACAATAAAACCATGGCAACAGTATAATAATAATGAAACAAACACTGATACATCAGCAAAATCTTGGTGCATTTTAATCGGCAGTGGTCCTTACAAATATAATACTTCTGCATCTACAAGTATCATATTTTTTGTTTTCATTCTAACATTTGTTTCATGTTACTTTATTATCATGATAGGCTGAAGAGTTTAATTCTAGATTGAAGAAGATGGACAGAATTTCATTCTTACATTCATTTTTTATGTTACTAAAGAAACTAGGAGAGTTTCATTCTAAGATGTACACAATACATGTAGAGATGTAAGCGTTGATATATTTTTAGTGTGAAATGTTCAAACAAAAATGTTGAAATGTCTGAAACAAATGAGACATTTGTGAGAACTTTATAAATATACAAACATTCCTTACTGATCCAAAAAGGCATGCAATTCTACACATAGACAAACACCAAAAAATAGCAGGGATCGAGCTTAGATATGACTGATTTATTGAATTAATGGCCCCTATAAAACACATCATCCCATATATCTGTCATGGAGCAATATATTTCACTTTAATTTCCTTTTTACACAGAGGCTATTTTTGCATTCTGAACTTCAATTCCTGAAGTACCTGAATAAGTGAGATGATCAACTTGCTGTAATTATAACACAAAACTTTCTCCTGTATTTACATGTAAAATTTATTTATTGCATAAATTTTCCTTACAAAATCATTCTATACAATTAAGTATAGATAACATAATATTGTGTTATTGTGTGATTGCACTTTGAAACTGCGACTACTGCAAATAGGTATTTCAAAATATTAATGAACAAAATCAATAGACAACAATAATAGACAACAATACAACAATAATCGACAACAAAGCTCCCCTTCACAAATTATGTTCTGTAAGAGTAATGCATTATTTCAATGTTTAGCTTTACAATGTCTTTATAGAAGGGTGATTTTGAGATTTAATTTTCAACAAAATCTGGTTGTACAATACTTCTAACAACATACACACAAAATGCGAGAAATTCGGTTCATTTTCTTTAAATGCTGCATGAACTAATATTACCTACACACAGAGACATATAAAATATATTATATGTCTCTGCTATACAGAACTAGATAAATAAAATGTATGCTAAACATTTTATTCATTTATACTAAATCTTACATGTCAAAGGAAGCTATTATATGATATAATTAGAACAACATGTATTCAGTTTATTGCAGAGCTCAGTGAAAATGTTCAAATTGTAAACTGCCTCATGACATAGGCATACTATGTAAATAAATATAATTCCTCTTAAGCTCTGCTTAAGACTGTACATAATGCTAAATAGGAGCTCATGACAATCTAACAAAAATAAGTTGACTGTATGTCTGACATTATGGTAGAGGGAGGACCCGGGAAGTAGATTAATGTTCCCAATTTTTAATAAATATGTATTAAAATTCATGCATTTGAACAACAAATAATCTTAACTCCCTCCCCAACTGACAGGATATGCACATATTACTACAAAAATCTGATTCTGAAGACAAATAATTGTAACATACAACTACAAACATCTGATTCTGACTGTACGAGATGAACTAAGGCCAACCTTGAGATACTAGCTGAACCATTGACTCAAGATTGTGTACAAACACTGATTATTTGACAGAGGCACATGTGATCTCTCAACGCTTTCAAGTGCTGGCCATTATCTGTATACAAATACCATAAAGAGATTATGACTGAAAATAGAAAGGTGCACTGCAACCCTAATATAAAATTCACATGTCTTAAAGTTTAATTTAAAGTCATAAATAACACTGTATAATAATATATAAATATTTTATAAATAAGAATTCTGTTTTAGTGTTTAAAATCATGATAATCACAAAAATATAGGACATTAACAGCATCTAAAATGAAAACCAACATTTTACTGAAGGCTTTAACAATCGTGAGGTCCAACAATAAAGTCCTTATTACTGAGATCAAGTTTGTTTTATGTGATACCATAAAGGTCCAAAGTTTTTACATTACAAAAGCCTGGTTACAACTGAACAAAGAAAACAATGAAACATTAATGAGTATATAAATCCATGCACATTTTACATATTTAAGGTAACAACTAATTTTGCTCCGTTCCGGAATGAAAAAACTCCCATCCACACATGGATTTTGCATTTTGTCATTAAATTAAGCTCACAAAGTTAAAATACAAATCAAAAATAATCATTATTGAGCATTGCAAATTCACAAACCACACTTACATATTTAACATTTGAAAGCACCTGGTATTCATTACAAATGGTGTATCAATTATGATATAAAATCAGCAGTTTCATTTACTAGTAGCACAACCAATAATCCTCTGGACAATGACAGAGTATTCATGCCCTATCGCTATCATGCAGCAGTGAAATGTTATACTACATTGTCACCACATTGCTGTTACACCATGAGTTTGCATGCCTTATAATTGGGGGTGTATTAATACTACCTGTGATGTATACACCATGCAAAATGTCACCACTTGCCATTTGTTAGATGCCGACTGCTGAAATAGCACCAACGTGAAACAACATCCACAAAAAAAAACATTGGAGACTATAACATAATGTCACAACTTGTGGTGGTGACATAGTTACATGGTTTGACCAGTAGGCATCAAAACATTATGAAACACTCTGCACTGACCTGAATGATTTATTTCATTTGTACTAAAGATATATCGGTATAATGCTATAGATCCATTGGTATCATATATAAATCAACATAATATTTTTCTAAAAATCACTATTCCTTAAAAATATCTGTAGAGTTATATAATAATTATATAGTAATAAATATATTTTTTGATAATTGCACATATAAAATTCATTATTCTTAAAATCATTTGCACCATGGAGGTTGATTGCTGCATAAAATGTATTTTTAATGAAAACCCAAAATGAAATCCAATGCTGGTGTGAAAAAGACCATAGCATTGCAGCCATGTCTTTATGTTTGGTTCCCAAAACCTTTTATAAGTTTTAAATATATACAGGTATGTACATGTACTGCAATGTTCACAAATTCACATAATGTTACTAAAAAATGAAATAACATACATACATATATAACAACTAGGGTGAACAATATACTAAAATCAATTTTGTGTCATCAAAAGTCACATTTGTGTCCATAAACACAATTACAATTCTCTTCATTTTCCACCTGGTACCACTTAAGATATCACTAAAGATAACACTATATTATACTGGAATATTGAGAACATGACAAACAAATAACATATGACAAAAGTATGACTCCTTCATAATTAGAAATTGGAGGATATGTGTACATGTTATTGCTAAGCTGTCATAACTTTGAAGGATCTGAATTCATATATTATCATAATGAGGTCACTGAATAGTGTTCTTTGATGGTACTTCAACATCATTCCTTAAGAATTTCTTCCACTTAAACAGATATCTCATATTCAACAAACAACTCCCAACAATTGGATTCATCAGTGGTATCTGCCAGCGTGGAATGATGAATCATTTTGATTAGTGAATATACGTCACTTTCATGATTTATTTAGTTTTATGGCTGCCATATGAATTTTTGGCGACAGGCAAAATAAAGGAAAACAATTATTGAAAATTATCAATTTAAAGTAGAAACAATGGCAAAATTCCTCAAAACGATTGGCAATTTGGGTAAAAGTAACTGAAAAAATCACTGTTGGGTTCTGCTAATGAATCACCTGTACGTGTGACCACGATGCAATAGTGGAACAAATTAGCCATGATATGTACAACTATAGGCACTATACATGTCAAATCCTGGTACATCAGGGGTGCTCTTGTATTGCCTTAATTTTATTACCCATTGAAGTACTAACATCCTCCGATCACAGGGCTTCAAAATCCAGAATATATTCTTTCCTTTTACACCCTGTGATAAGCAGTTAGCATTTCCCCGATTAAGAACTCGCAATCTGATTAGCTGTCGCAACACTGCGACACAAATCATGCATAAGTCATTGCGCATAATTAGATCACGTGATTCAGTTTAATCGGGCGCTTCAAAATTGGTTATGGCAGGGGGAAGAAGGAGGTACGGATTCTGGATACCTGCTTAGGAGGATGAAGTACTAATCACTGCGCATTTTCTTTGGCTTGTCCTAGTCTTTGTTAATTACTGCATTTCAATGATCTATTGACTCATGTTTTCACACTAATGAAGGACTACTAGCCCTGCGAGGTATAGCTGATTTGTTAGTTGTGTTATCATTAATGTCTTCTACATCTTGGTCTAACAACAGAGGAGTTTTCACGTCTTTGTTCTTCCTCCGTTTATTTATCAAATCGTTCAACTTCCCAAGAGGTTTAATCTTATGTCTACGAGCATAAGGCTTCACTTTTGCATGTGGTTTTTTAGGGCCTGGTGGAGGTGGTGGTTCTGAGGCCTCTTTCATTGCAGCCTCAGCTTCTTCTTCCATACTGAACACTGTATAGACAACAACAGCTGGGGTCATGATCAACAGCCCAACAAATACGTATATACTGGTCTGGTCAAAATTTGGATGGAAATGGAAGTTTGGGGTCAGAGAAAAGAAGTTCCAGAAAATTGTCCCGAGGGGTGTTACTAATGCCATGACGACGACCGAGTATACGGCACCCTCAGCATAACGGATGAGAAGGAAATTGGAGAGGTTGGCGAAGCAATAGGAGAGAATAAACATCCAGGAGAGACCTGCGACATTACTGCAACTGTGATCAATTCCAAATTGGCACACAAGACCAGTCTTGAAGCGATTGAAGAAATCTGTAGGTGAAGTGGCCTAAAATAGAAAATCAAAAATCTCAAATACGCGGCAGATTTTATTAGCTTCATGCACATGTTTAATTTCAAAAACAAGTGGTCTTGCAGTACAAATATTCATACTACATTACAATTCTAAATCGCTGTGAATATTATTATTGCAATGTATTGTGTTAACCTTCCTCAATTAGAGACAAACAACAATCAACATCTTGGGACCTTTCTCACTGGTCAAGCTCTACATCATATCCAGTAAAAATGGTGACCTTGCCATATGGAAATGGAGATATGTGTCACAGCTAGTTCGGAAATATTATCTCCATTTCTGAAGAGTAAGGTCACCATGTTTACTGAAATGATCACTTATATTCATAGGAATATCAACAAACCCAGCGTCATGGAATGGATCACTTGGATTAGGGTGCTTACCTCTATACTAGTCTATAATGTGCCTAAATCAAATACTTCATTCAAAAGTCGAAACATTGAGGCATCAAACCCAGTTTACCCTGATTCAATCTGAAAGTAGCAACAATTAGCACTTACCATGCCAAAGTGGGGGATGAAGTCAGTCCAGAACAAGAGAAGGACTGTGGAATACATGAAGACTTGGGTCCAGGCTATAAACACCATGGAGTTGGCCTACAAAATAGTTATCTCTTAGTACAAGGTCAATTAAAATGTCATATGTTACAAATCAAATTTAATTGACATAAATAACCGGTTGATGTATCTTTTAAATGATAACTATATATAGGTTAAGTGTCTGACCACGACAAGTCTGAATTGAAAAGCAATTTATATAATATTTTGATATATCTTATTTGTACACAATATGTTTATTTGGTCAAGTACTGGCTCATATAATATGACATTTGTTGACAAACATATGAGATTCCACTGTGACATAACTTTTCAAATACAAAGTGAGAAGCATCTTTAGATAATAAGCTATGTATGTGAACTGTGGGCTAAATAAATCATCTTATGATGTTTTCGTGATATCTTTTCATCTTGTCATCATCAATATCAGTATTAATTTGTATAGATAGCAATATCGAGTTGTGGATACAAATGATATCACTAAAATCTCACATACAATAAAAGTCGGTGTCTAAATGTTGACAATTGTGGAAAATCTGTTTTGGTTCCATCACACCACCCCCCACTACTTTTAAATTTTTGACTTGTTGATTTGCTGTCCCTTAGTCTCTTTGTTAATTTTCCCAACATTTTTTCCTCACAAAATCTTCAATTATGAAACTAACATTGGTAGTTCCACAACTTAAAACAATTAAACACCATATGTGAAGCCATTCTCTAAAAAGCCATTATGAAGCCATTCTTAAGAAAGCCATTCTTTAGAAAGCCATTCTGAAGCCATTCTCTTAAATCTTTTATACAAATGAACACATACAGGCCCATACATATATAGTCAGCATTCTGATTAAGGCAACTGCCTCATTTGCCTCAATGTAAGTATAGGCCTGCGATATTCATCTATTTACCTCTTCATTTTTTAACTCCTTTTCAGTGACAACAGCAGCTATTGCACTAGGAATAAAGCCAAGCATGAATATCATTGGCCAGAAAATACCATGTATACCCTCACTGCCACCTCCTCCTCTCTCCAGCCCAAAGATCTGGGGTTCCACAGATATGAACATACCAATTAGGATAATCCCACATACAACTAACTGACGTTTACTAACACCTGTGAAAGCAAGCAAAAATATGTTGTAAGCAACAGGCATTGGTTGTTATAATGATAAATGTCAAGGTTAAAATCAAGCATGTTGGATATATTATTAGGCTTGCTGAAAAAGAAGGTATTATACTGTAAGTTGAGGAATGTGCAGCATTTCATGCAAAAATCATGAATATTTGAGCGTGATCCAAATTGGGTGCTTTCAAATATTCATTCACACTGTATTAAGTATGAACTTTTGTAAGCAAGCAAGCAAGAAGCAAACCTGAAAAAAATTAAAATGCTACAAAACATGTAAATATAAAGCACACCACCAAAATCAGCTTTACAAATCAAGCAATCCAAGTAAATGCCTATAATTCAATAACAAAACAACTTTAAAGCAAACAAACAAACAAGCAAGCAACCAAACAAGCTGATGAATACAATTGATCCAAACAAACCTGAGCTTGCTTTAATTCCTTCTCTATGACAACTCCTGCAATTGCATTAGGGATAAACCCCGCAGCAAATACGAGTGGCCAGAACATTTGGTGCGGTTTCCCAGTAGAGGCCGGAATCACATGGGAATCCCCTCTTTTGATATTAAATAGATTAGGTTCAATACAAATGAACAATCCGATGAGGATTATTCCACATACAACTGCACGTTTTAAACTCACACCTGAAATAAATATTGCATGGACACGTACAGTGAAATTTGCTTAAACACCACCTCATATGAACATATATCAATACATGTATGAATGCTTCTCCTAAAAACCTTTGAAATTAGAATAGTTAAAAATGGTATTTTTATACACTATTACAGCAAAAATCCAGACTTTCTTAAAAATTGTCCACTTTTCAAATTCGGATAAATACAGGTTTTTGAAATAACTGATGGTTTAAACATAATTTATTTAGGAAAGTAGGAAATATATAAATCCACAAACCTTTTCTCAATATAATAAGTCTGGCAAGAATCGTGAATGGAATAAGCGTGGTGGTGAAGATGGCCTGTAAGTAAGGAGGTGTCCGTGATGGAAGACTAGCATATGCAATCAACAATCCATTTAATGCAGTTAAAGCTCCTGTTATAAACATCCCAGACCAGCTGGTCTTTGGTTTTAAGCTCAAGTCTCGATCGATGAAAAGTTTGATAAATGCTAACTGTAAGAAGAAAACCCAAGGAAACCAAAAGGCTGAGAATAACATTGCATTGTATGGGTCACTTCTTTGGTCATTCATCGCTTTAGTGTACATTGGCAGACTCACTTGCATACAGACAAATGCTAAAATTGTTGTTACTGATAATATCACGTTTATAGCCTTTTTTGGTATCGTTATTGCCATGATTTTAGCTTTTATTTTCTCCAGGCGGGTCTTAGTGGCCCCCATTATGTGTGCCTCTGATTTAAGGCTAGGGTCAATGTCTTGTTTGTGTGAGTTAATCAGTGGATTGTTGGTGTCATCATGGTCCTCGTTCCCTTCTGGAATGGTATCATGGTAGAGCAATGGTTTACGCTCTTCATCTTTAGGTCCCATTGTTTGACTATACCAGGGCAATGATGGCTTGATGACACTTATTGAATCAAAGTTTTCATTACTGTTTTGACTGAAAAACACAAATAAAAATATTTTAATATTTCATCAATGTACATAATACTGTATATATAAATTGTGCAATTTGCCTTTTTGCAACGGTAATCAAAATTTATGCATTTTTCTTCTCTTTGTTTTTGTCATATTTGTACCTGTTCTTTGCAACTGAACTGACAACAGTTGGAGCTGATCCACTATTAATACTGCTAGTCCTCAGATTAATCCTTTCTTTAAGAATATTATTGTTGTCATAACTTGCTGGCTGGAACTCTGGGGAACCAACCTTACCAAACTCAGCCATTGTCAAGCTTTGAATGTTCTACTTTATGCGATATGACCAAGACAATTCTTCAGAGATTTTCTTTAATATCTACAGTTCAAAGTTAACGATATGTCAACACATAACCAGGTATGCACTCTCTTTAAGTTCAACCTTTATGATTAAGAATTAATCTTTAATTCAAACACAAAATACTCATAGATTTCCTTATTACATGTATGTATGACTCTGAATCAGACTGTTATTATGTAAATGAAATTCAATTCTCTATATCAAGTTAAGTTTGATGTGGAAATTTGACATGTGAATTTGACATAACAGAGTGAGGTCAGCCAAACCTACTATTTATTTATAATTTCAAATTATCAATTACATGATAAAATAACACCAATTCTATCTATGATATATATATCACCACATGCCATGACTAAAAAAGAAAGATCAGGCCTCAATAACAAAATGTTTAAATTCTTTGTAGTGTAAAACCATGGGCTTTCAACTAGTTGAAAGCCCATGGTAAAACATAGTAGACTAGATGCAAGAAGAAATAATCTCGATCTACGTTACTAAAAAATCAAAATTCAGTCAAAGTACTATCATATTTGAAATCTACATGTAAAATTACAAAGTCTACAAATGTGGTTTAAAAATGTGTTTATCAACATAGACCCCATGTTATTAAATCACAAAAAGTGAAATAGCTTTTCTTGGATTGGACAGATGAAATTTTCTTTTACTGGACATATTTAATTTGCACCACTCCCAGTTACATACCACTAAAACTCATGACTATTCAAGTTTAAGGGAACTTTCTATTACTCTGCCATTATCTGCCCTGAATTAGCCACCTGGTGGTGAAACTGATAACTACCTACTCGCATCTGGGTTATTTAACCCCTAAATAAAATAATGACCTCAAAGACAAAGGTATAAGTCTTAATGAGGTAAAACATAATTTATTAGATGTCAGATAAGAAAATTAACAAAAATAAATTGCAGCACTTTCAACTTTGAATGTTTAACTAATAAAAGTAAAGTGATTGTGGTTTAGACATCAACTTTATTTGACAATTTGTCAATATAAGCTAATATATCAAAGTTTTATTAGAAACATTTGCATTTCAATCCAATATCAAAATGTACAATGATCTGAATGTACCAACAATAATTCAGGATTATATTATACTATCTATAACGTTATGTGGCAAATTATTATCATTATTTTAAGATTATTCTATTGAATATCTACCCTGCATGCAGAGTCTAGTTTAACTACACTCTGCCTAGTATAGACCATGTTACGGGTACCGGTGACAGTTTGGGTAATAAATCACTTTTGACCTACGCGCTGACCTTTCTTCCACCAATCAGTGAGCTTGAAAAAACATACGCCAAATGCGTTCTAATTAAATATGCGCATGTCATTGGTCAATTCCGGGTTCAACGATGACATCAGAATGAATGACCATATATAGAACGTCGGTCAAATTTGGCCGACGAACACTGATTGGCGCGGTGAGTTCACAGGTTTATTTTAGTTTGAAAGAGTGAAGACGAAGCTCTCTTTTAAGAAGTGAAGTCAAACGAATGCAAAGGGTATTGAATATTTGCAGGACAGTCTTATGTGCTGCGCCTAAGAGTTGATTAACTTCACGCAACCCATCTCTTCATCAAAAAAAAGTGACAACTACAGTACCATGGTTCAACTAAATTGTTGTAAAAATAGTGATGTCACTCCTTAATGCAACACCTATCTTCATATACAAGGGGCAACAACTACCCTGAAGCCTAGAGTGCATCTAAGTAATTCCTAGCCTCTGGATAGGATAGACACTTTTACAGTCCTGATCCTGAATAGATCTTACTGAACCCCAAAATTACTGGGTTGCTGGCATACCATTTAATTGGATTTTAAATGGCAGCTACTTATGTCTAATTTGATTAGATTGTACATGAAACTCTCTTTTAAAGTGCAAAATCAACTTCTTGAAAAGGGTAGGCAATAACCTAACATGCACTACATTGTTCTCGTTTATTACTGAATAAGACTACAGCTTTATGTGCATAATGTTCAACAGTTCAAATATTCTTGTTTAGCAGTTATCACACAAAATAATTTATAAACATAGAGGGTGTAACTGTTTAATTCATATAATCAAATAATAATTTATAAAATCAAATCACATTCTATCCTCTCAGAAACAAAATTAATTATTCGTTAAGATGGACATCCAAAACGTGTTAACAAAAATGTGCTTATATTCAAATCAATGTTTTGCCCAGACTTTGAAACAAACAAGTATTCTTAAAATGTATAATTGAAATTACATATGCATATAATAGTAGATACTGCAAAACATGTCTATCTGAATGCCTCTACCTTCCAAACACCTATCAATATAAAAATTCCCATTGACTCACATAATATTAAGAAACCTTAAAATGTAAATAGCTGCGAATCAAAATGCCTCTGCTCTGTTTAAGTTTTTGGGCCCAAAAATTTTGTAGGGCCTCAAAAAATGGGCCTTTTTGGGCACAATTTGGCATTTAAAGGCCTTTTTGGTCAATTTATGAAAAAATGAGCCTTTATTTTTTCCAGACTCAAAATTTGCCCCCCTCCCTTTTAATTTCTGGATCCGCCACTGTGTTTCCCCAGTGGCAACTTATTTTTCCAGATCTGTCACCAAGAACAAAATGTGCCTGGGGCTGCTGTGGATTTCAAAAGCTATTGATATTAAATTATTCAGAATGAACCCAACATCCAAAGTTAATCATTAGTATACCACTTCCAGAGTAAAAGTAAGCACTACACTGGGCCAACATAAATAATGTTTGTACACAACTGCAATAAAATGACTCATGATTGCACACATTAATCCCTTCAATATCCGCAACATCTGTGATAAGACAGAAGTGTTTCACCATAAGGCAAATGATTTAATTTGAGAACATTTTGCTTTTTAGTGATTTGACCTCTTTGTTAGATAAAAAATAAGGATTTAAACCAGAATTAAATCATATTTTGATATAAAATGAATCCGAGGTTGTGACTTTGTGGTATAAGAATAGATTATAATTGGCATGAATGAAACATTCTTATCACATATGACTCATAAATGGGGGAGAAACATGTCAAATGTATCATGGGTTATAATGAAATGGTACATGCAGATAAAAACTAGGTATGATTTAAGTACATTCTACATGTATACGGAATCAGATATGATTTTATCACCAAAATCATGAAAATGTACAAGGTTGTTGTTGCTGAGCCTTACAATGCCAAACTAAACAGCCGCATATTAAGCTCCTACTTTCTCCTAAAGGAGAGGAATCTCAACCAGATCAACAGCTCCTTTGAAGCTATGATAAGTTTTATAATAGGATTTAGGGTTTATGATAGTATCATACATTTCATTTACTTTAAGAATACTCAAACAAGGCAATCATATCATGTTAATATAAATACATGTATCCTAATTTCTGGAACCATTACCAATTTATTGATATTCATTTGAAAGATGCATTAATATTGATATGTCAGTCAGCTGAATTGGTAAGTCACTCAAAAAACTGTTTTACAAGGACAGGTTTTACTGGATACCTATCTGCATAATAATTCTTACATTGTCTTTGATTCACATGACTCCCAATCAATACACTTATGTTTACAAGTGGTTCAAAGTCTGACTCTAATGCAGATGGTACAATAGAGTACGGAATTCTCTAAAATCTGAACGATATACAGGGCCGTAGCTAGTGGGAGTTCGCAGTTCGGGCGAACCCCCCCCCCCCATGACAAAAATTCTTTCAAAAACATGCAGTTTTTAACCATTTTGAGCACTTCTCAAGTGATTTTAGCTAAATGTGAACCCCCTGGAAATTTTAAAACTGAACCCCCACTCCCTTGGCAAATCCTGGCTACGGGCCTGATATATCATACTGATCCCATGCAGCATTGTAGTTTTTCTCCTTTCAAATAGGACCTTATATGTACATAGTATACTATGTATATGCATATACATATATGTATATACTATACATAGACTATGTATGTGTAGGTTATATTTTCTTTGACACACTGATACCTCATCAGGATAATAACTACGACAACACTGTTAGTTACAAGATGCTGGTGAGAAGGAAGGAGGAGGAGAGGGGGGGAAAGTATTATAATTGATCATGTGTTTGATATTCCCCAACTCATTTCCATTCCAAATCTGTCTCTATCAACTATGTTCACATCAGTTACATTCATCAGGGGTGGTGGGTCCTTCTTCAAGTTTAAGGCCTATTTTTCCAAAGCCTATTATGAAGCCTATTTTCGAAAATTTAGACCCAAATAAGCTTTAATAATATTGTCAAAATTAAAAGATTTTCAAATCTTTAGACCCCCACCTGTTTTTTATATTCTGTTAAGCTACATGTACTCCTGTTTGACTCTCTGACTTTCTAGTCTCTAGAGATGAATTTAGCTTTTGATCATGGATCAGGCCAAGGGGTTTGTACAACCTTATACCGAAGCAGCCATCAATAGGAGGATTGATTCAAAAGTAATAGACAAAGTGTTATAGACTGTAATGAACTTCCTGTATAAAATGGTCACATTTCCCCTTCATTAGAAATCAATACAATCCCAATGGCCCAACACTTCAATGGACAATAAGCATACTGGCATTACTGAATTCTTAGTTAAAAAGTATAGGAACAGGAATATTATGTAAACCAAAATACCAACAAAGTCAAAACTTACCTAGCATTTGTAATATCCAATGTATATAACACAGTTCACATGTCCCAAGTCTCTCATATATTCAACCAGGCCTTCTTTAGACCTTGTCACCTGTAAAATTATAGATTATTACTTCAACTTTATCAAATGTTATCTTTAATTGCTAGCATGCCTTACTTGATCATTAGTCTACTGAATATAAATGATTGTCAGCTTTAAAATGATTAATGCTTCTTCAAATCTTAAAGTGAGTATACGACAATCATCATTTTTTGAACATTTAAGATATGTTGCTCTGAGCTTAAATGTACTTTACTCACTCTTCTAAAATATGAAGTGTACAAACG